GGTCGACCCCCCTTAAACTGTTACTTAATTTAAAAAGACGTTATCATGCACTGCTTTTTATGGTCTCCATTGTGTTAGTATATAGATGCCAGGAAAACACACTTACGGGGGTTCAAAATAGCACCCCAAAAAATCGCCTCGCCGCTACGCGGCTCGTGGACAATGCTCTGCATCGTCTTTGGGTCGACCCCCTTAAACTGTTACTTGATTTAAAAAGACGTAATTATCATGTACTGCTTTTTATGGTCTCCATTGTGTCAGTAGATGCAAGGAAAACATCACTTACGGGGTTCAAAATAGCAAAAACAAAAAAATCGCCTCGCAGCTTCGCTGCTCGTGGACAATGCTCTACATCGTCTTTGGGTCACCGGGGGCCCCCCCCCCCCTTAGCAAAAAGCCAGATCCCATCATCCGCCACTGGATCCCTCTTCTTAATTGAGGGGGTAGGAGAGAGCAATTTTACGTCATATTACTCCAGGAATTTGTGCCTGAAAATGCACCTAATGTGGTTCTAAAATTGCAAATGCTTCCTACTCAAGGAGGGGTTCTGACCCCCTTCCAGACCCACCCCCGCTTGGTCGCTCCGCTGCCTCGCCGCTGACGCCTCGCTCCATCGTTTTTCATATATTTCACCCCATGCGATTTTGTGCCCCCCGGTAAGAAATTCCTGGATCCGCCACTCCCCCCATGCACTCTTTCAATAAAATTGATTGAATACTTCTTTCACCAACAAAGAGGAATACTGTGCCAAATGAAGAAATAAAGAGCTACTTAGCATGGTTGGATTTAAATCTAGAATTCAGTGATTTCTTTTTCTTATCACGTTTTCATTTGATTTAAAGGGGAAGTCCCAGGATATTAAGTTGGTTTCAATAAAAAAGAAAAATGAGAGAGAGAAAAAAAAAACATTAGTAAAAGTTTGAGCAATATCAAAACCTATCCCATAAAAAAGGGAAAGTTATGATATTTTTAAAGTAGTCATCAGTTAAACACAAATTGGCAACACTGACTTATTTTGCGAGGTTCTTTCGAATTTACTCTGTACAGAAAATGTCATGAACTTTCATTTTCTTCGTTATTGATGATGAATAGATTTGTTTCATACAGGGGGTGTATAAAACATATTTGCAATAATTATATTTAGGATGAATGTATGATTGACAAATTTTCTGGAATATAATTTATTTTAGTAAAGGGCAAATTGGAGACTGAGGAGTCAGAAGACCTCACAAGACTTGTCACAGAGTTGTCAATTTGTATTTGATTGATCGCGCCTTTAAATTTCATCAATGTCTTATTTGTAATTGCTTTTTGCTACAACTTTTACGGACTTGTTTCTCTCATGTTTCCTCATGATATTAATATCAGGGTGGATTTCCCCTTTAAGACCCCTAAAACCGAGGTATCTGGGGAAATTACCCCAGACCACAACTCTCAAAGGATAAGGAAGATTGTTCCTGCATCTACCCTAGGACCTGAGCCCTAGGACACACTGTACTCATGTCAAGAACTAGTTTGAGGTACCTGACTAAAAGCATTCTACCGGTATGTGAAAACTAGATTGATCTTCTATTGCGAACAGTCGAAAATGATGCCTTCACCATAGAGCAATTTTACAAACCAAAACAGAAGCAATTTTTAAAATTCAAGTTTGATCGTAATCCATTAACAGGTTCTCATTATATCATGATTAAAAGCTTTTTGTCTCGCCTGCGTAGCAAAAAGCGAGACATAGGCGACGGCGACGGCGTCAACATCAAAAACTTAACCTAAGGTTAAGTTTTTGAATTTTTGATATAATTTTTTAAGTATAAGTTCTTAGTCAATGAAACTTTGACTATAGGGTAATCAAGTATCCCCAATCATGTGAGTAGAATTTCAGATCACAAAGTCAAGGTCAAAGGTCATTTCAGGTCAACAGACTTGGACTATGTTGTAGCATCATCATCGAAAACTTAACCTAAGGTTAAGTTTTTGAATTTTTGATATAATTTTGAAAGTATAAGTTCTTAGTCAATGAAACTTGGACTATAGGGTTATCAAGTCTCCCCAATCATGTAAGTAGAATTTCAGGTCACTAAGTTAAGGTCAAAGGTCATTTAAGGTCAACAAACTTAGACTTTGTTGTGGCATCAACATCAAGATTTTCAAAATGCTTCTTCTTCGTTATTTTTCAACTGATTTTTATTCTGATTCTGATTCTGATTGTTTCATATGATAGGGCTAGGAGGGGGATTTAAAATTTTTACACAGAATCTTGAAATTCATTATCTATGCTAATTTATGCAAATTTATTCGAAATCACAAAAAAGGCTTCTTCTCCTTCATTTCTCGACCGATTTTGATTTGGTTTGCTCTGTATCGTAGAGCTAACTTTGGTACACTAAACTTCTACACAGAATTTTGAAATTGTTCTCCATTAATTAATTATGGTAATTTATGCAAATTTATTCCAAAAATAACAAAAATTGTTTCTTTTCCCTCATTTCTTGACCGATTTTGATTTGGTTTGCCTTATCTGGTAGAGCTAAATTTGGAACACTAAACTTCTACACAGAATTGTGAGATTTTGCTCCATTTATTATTTATGGTACTTTATGCAAATGAAATGAAATTATGTCCCTTCCAGGACATCAAATTTTTATTTTTTGACCAGTTCAAAAGTGTACCACATAAAATTTACGATATTTGTTGTTGCGAGATGTGGATGAGCGCTACGTCATTGACGTTCTGGTTTATCATATTGAATTGCGTTATGCAGGCGAGACCGCCGAGAGCGTTTCCCTTGTTTCATTTACATGTATGACCCTTTGATCTTTGACCTCATGAATCCTAAAATCTAATCAGTTCATTGGCTCTGCAAGATGGTACATGTCCTGAGTTTGGGGGTAATCCACCAATCGCTTCTTGAGATAAAGCGAGAACGAGAACAAGACATACGGACGGACAACCCGAATACATAAAATTTCACATATCCTCCTTCGGAGAACATACTACATGTATGTATGATCAAATCTCTATGATATTATACAGTTATTGACTGGCAGGGGGTGTAATATAACATTTTTTGTAAGAAAAGTACTTTTTTCCTTTTTTCCCCCAAAAAGAAATTTTTTGGGAAAAAAAGAAAATGTGGAAAAATAATTTCAAGGGAAAAAAAAAATTTATGGAAAAAAATATTGAAAAAATAAAATGACCCTCGGTAATGGTGTATAATGTGTGTAATTGGTGACATACAGTCCTCAAGAGGGCGACATGCATTGATTGAAAATATATTTATATAAAAAAATGCAACCAGGAAAATATAACAATTTGGATCCTCGCAATTGATATCACGTGACGAGCTCTGGACCAATCACATCTCGGTATCTGTCTAAGCTATCTAATATATACACTTATTGGTTATTTACAAACTAAAAGAAAATTATGGCTGGAAAACAATATCTCTGTTAAACCATTTATTTACAAAATGACATTGAACTCCAGTACATGAACATATCACAAACATGGCAAAGGTGACATGAGTATAACATTATGCACAATTATGCAGAATGTCTTCCATTTTGAGCTTGAACGTTTTTCTTAAATCTAGCAGGGTGCAGGCATATTCATATTCATCATTTATTTTACAGTCTACAGCCTATACTGCAGGTATACTACCGGTACATGTAATTTCACTTGTTGTTAGTACACTGGTCAAAACTTCACTGATCAAACAACTATACAAAAATACAAAGGCATACAAAGGCAATGACATAAACCTGGAACTTCTCTAATGTGCTGTCAGAATTCAAAGTGATTTCTTAAAAGAATGAAGCAGAAGGCCCGAATAATAATCATATTGAGTACATGTAGCACATGGACTGCTTTGGACAAAAGAGCTCCCTGTTGGTGCCATTCATTGATGTTTTTTTGTACTGCTTCCCAGTCTTAAATACTGATTGGTTTATAGCTCAGGGTTGACCAAGCCCTGTACTACTAATATAATACTTATACCGTTAGAGAGAACAATTTAGACTGGTAGCAAATGTCCAAAGAAATACCAGAACTAAGTGAACTTAGTGGAAATTGAATCCAATGACAGGGGTAATAGTATATCTGTAAAGCGTTTTATAGAGATATCATAGCGCTGTATAAAAGCGGAAATATTATAATTATTATTTATTTCCTATTCTAAAAGGTACATGTCTGAATAGAATGTAAAAGCAATACAAGATGTAACCTATTGACAATGTTTCAAAAATTATAAATATCCCCTCAAACATCATTTAACATCATGACACCTATTTGGCAAATTGAATTTTATTTCTTCTTCAAAAACTTGAATAAATGAAAAAGAATGATAATAAATCCACTATGGCACTAGTAGAAATATGAAAGATGAAGGATTTTATTGAAATAACACAGAAAGGCCCTTCACAAAGGCTGCAAGCCTACAAGTGCAATGATATGTTTCTGCTTAAAGCTAGATTTTCATTCATGAGAGTAAGAATAATAACCCTTGATGCATTTGTACAAAAAGATCATGAATTGTTGTACTGATTTGCAAGGACAAACCCTTCTCTGGTGTTATTTGTAACAGTGTCTGCACTGTGAGACTAGGCTGTCAGCATACATGTACCTCAGTTGTCTAACACAGCCAGAAACCGACAGAGATAGGCTATGCTCAAAGCTTTAGAAATTGTGGTGTAAAATTGAAGTCTGTGCCTGCAGACTACTATTGTACTACAGTAAAGTGATACAAAGAATACGTGTACTGGAAACGCATACATGCAAATAGTTTATGGAAACCAAATATGAAATATATGGAACCCATCTCTTAATGCTTGTTCTCTTAATTATAGCTCTAGCCTTTTACCCTAATACCTTTCTTTCCCTCTATTCTCGTAAATCAATGGCTCAAGGGAGTATGAAGAAATAATAATAATAATAATAATAGCTAGTTCTTATATAGCGCTTTTCAGGACCGGAGGCCCTCTCAAAGCGCTTTACAGATTATCTATGAAGCCCCTGTACTTATTTATTTGTGTGTTCTGAGAGGCACTCTGCTCTTGCACCATCCTATTTTTCAGCAGGTTTTTAGAGGCGGTTTATCACATCACATGGTAACAAGGCAGAATTGGGAGGAGAGTTCATCTCAGGTTCTAGATTACATCAGGTTTATAGTGGCGGTTTATCACATCACATGGTAACAAGGCAGAGGAGAGTTCATCTCAGGTTCTAGATTACATCAGGTTTTTAGAGGCGGTTTATCACATCACATAGTAACAAGGCAGAGGAGAGTTCATCTCAGGTTCTAGATTACATCAGGTTTTTAGAGGCGGTTTATCACATCACATAGTAACAAGGCAGAGGAGAGTTCATCTCAGGTTCTAGATTACATCAGGTTTTTAGAGGCGGTTTATCACATCACATGGTAACAAGGCAGAGGAGAGTTCATCTCAGGTTCTAGATTACATCAGGTTTTTAGAGGCGGTTTATCACATCACATAGTAACAAGGCAGAGGAGAGTTCATCTCAGGTTCTAGATTACATCAGGTTTTTAGAGGGGGTTTATCACATCACATGGTAACAAGGCAGAGGAGAGTTCATCTCAGGTTCTAGATTACATTCTTTAAAGACTGACCAATCTCATGAATTGAAGGCAGCATAATTCTTCAATAAGCTTTTTGTATATATTTTAAGCATATTGGAAAGGTAATGATAGAGAGACTAATACAAAGACACAAACTCTCAAATTTGTACATTTAATAATAATAATATTCCGTTATTGTATAGTGCATTTAACACATTATTTATATGAATTTTAACGTCCCTATGTGCTTCCTCAGGGCTTTGGAAATGATTACCCTAGCGTTAGCTCTGGGAGCCGCTATAAGCACAGAGCCCATTTCAAGGAATAATTCTACCAGGTACCCATTTACCTCATCTGGGTGGAGTGTGGCAAATTTAGATTAAAATCTTGCCAATATACATTAATGTTGTGGCAGGGATTTGAACCCGTACCTTGTAGTTCAGTTCTGAGACTAATCGACTGGACCATAACACCTCTACTGTATTAGCTTTTACAAATTGTGCAATTAAATTTATTCTATAATAAATGTGATGATCTCCTATAGTACTGAAATGTTCTAATATACATGTACAGTACATCGGAGAAAAAAACAAAATCTCAAAACAAATACTTATCGTGAGCAAACTATGAGCGAATAGTACATGTATATGAAAAAAAACTTGCTTTTCCTAAAGTAAAAGTATTGCTTCCAAATAATACACTGATGAGTGTAGGCATTAAACCATGAATGCTTGACTGAATAATATTATTTTGAAAATGGTATGTTAAAATCCATTTGTGGCGCATTTTGGAAAAATAGTGAAAAACCACATACAAAAAAAACTTTAAGGAAATGCTTTTGAAAATGAGAGGAAAATTCCCTATTCTGATGATTTATTTTTCTACATTATGTGCCCAATTGACCATACCTTACCCGTTATAAGGTGCTCCTTACTTTGATTCTTGCATAAATATTACCTGACTGTCTGATTTCCTCTTTTGAAAAGTTGCAGTTCTGAAAAATGCAAAAATCACTGTTCATTTCAAACAATTGCAGACAAATTTAGGTACAGAATATTATTTTTACCCCCATCTTTGACAATGCCTCCCATATCCTTTATTTTATGATGATGGCAATTATCTTGCCCCCATAATTAACAGAGAAACACATGAAAACAAGCTCCTCATTCAGCTTTGAACTGTTTGTTTCCTTCAGGTCATGGTCCCATATGGGATAGTTAATTATTCAGTTCACCCAAATCAGGCCAAGATTGATTCTGACATGCCATTTTCAAAACAATGTTGCTCAATGAGGTGTATATGGCTTAATGTATTCAATGTATAATGCAAAGCACTTCCACTTTATAAAAAGCAAGAAATCATATTCATGCAGCTCATTATACCTGCAGTTTGTTCACAATATTCATTTGTTATCGGGTTTTCATTCTTTCTAGGACGCACTGTCCTACCATTACATTACTTTTCTTATGAATCTTGAAGAGCAACAACAAATAGGAACATCTACTCATAAAAATGACAGACAACCTCAAACTTGGCAATGGTTACTCAAACCACAAACAGAAGAAAAAAATCAAATTGCTATAGCACACTGATGCACAAAACTCCAGATCACCTGCTTCTTCTACTCCTTTTTCTGTCTCTGCTTCTATCTTTTCTATCACTCTTCCTTTTTCTACTGGATTCTCTGTCATCTCTCCTTCGATGGTGCCTGTCTCTTGATGTATCATGACTGGAGTGTCTTTTTCGAGGCTTGTCTCTATCCGTACTCTTGTCTCTCCTTGATTTCTTATCTTCACTGTGTCCATTCCTTTTGTCATTTCTTCCAGAATTTCTTCTTTCTCTACTCCTCCTTTGTCGTCTACTTCGTTCCTTACTCACGCTTCTCCTGCTGGGACTTCTTCTATGCATCCTGGGGTTATCTCTCCTCCTTGAGTGTTTCCTCTCATCATCTCTTTGTGGTTTCCTTGCTTCAGTGATTCTTCCTTTGTCCTTCTCTCCTTCGCTGCCACTGCTTTCACTTGAAGAACTGTCAGAACTGCTAAAACTGGTTGAACTCTCTGAATCTGAGGAACTATCATCGCTTTCTTGCTGGTCTCTAGATGGTTTCTTTGGTCGTTCAGATCTGGGATAGCATCCGTTGTGTGTAGGTGAAAGATTAGGGGGAGGGGGTGAATAACAGGAGAGGGGGAGGGGGTGAATAACAGGAGAGGGGGAGGGGAGTAAGGTATAGGTAGCGAAGGGGATAGTGAGAGTGGTGGAATGACCAGTGGGGGTGGAGACAAGATAAGAGAGAGTAGTGGAATGACCAGTGGGGGAGGAGGGGTGGAGACAAGATAAGAGAGAGTGGTGGAATGACCAGTGGGGGAGGAGGGGTGGAGACAATATAAGAGAGAGTGGTGGAATGACCAGTGGGGGAGGAGGGGTGGAGACAAGATAAGAGAGAGTGGTGGAATGACCAGTGGGGGAGGAGGGGTGGAGACAAGATAAGAGAGAGTGGTGGAATGACCAGTGGGGGGAGGAGGGGTGGAGACAAGATAAGAGAGAGTGGTGGAATGACCAGTGGGGGAGGAGGGGTGGAGACAATATAAGAGAGAGTGGTGGAATGACCAGTGGGGGGAGGAGGGGTGGAGACAAGATAAGAGAGAGTGGTGGAATGACCAGTGGGGGAGGAGGGGTGGAGACAAGATAAGAGAGAGTGGTGGAATGACCAGTGGGGGGAGGAGGGGTGGAGACAAGATAAGAGAGAGTGGTGGAATGACCAGTGGGGGAGGAGGGGTGGAGACAAGATAAGAGAGAGTGGTGGAATGACCAGTGGGGGAGGAGGGGTGGAGACAAGATAAGAGAGAGTGGTGGAATGACCAGTGGGGGGAGGAGGGGTGGAGACAAGATAAGAGAGAGTGGTGGAATGACCAGTGGGGGAGGAGGGGTGGAGACAAGATAAGAGAGAGTGGTGGAATGACCAGTGGGGGAGGAGGGTTGGAGACAAGAGAAGAGAGAGTGGTGGAATGACCAGTGGGGGAGGAGGGTTGGAGACAAGATAAGAGAGAGTGGTGGAATGACCAGTGGGGAAGGAGGGGTGGAGACAAGAGAAGAGAGAGTGGTGGAATGACCAGTGGGGGGAAGGAGGGGTGGAGACAAGAGAAGAGGAAGAGATGAAGGCAAGTAAAGATATCATACATTTTTTAATGTTAGTGTCCTAAAAGACAATGTAATTCAACATTTACTCATTCAAATAGAATATTTAATTTTCCAAAGTTTACAAAAAATATGTGACCTGCCACATCAAAATGAGACAGATGTCACATTTTTTTCCAAATCTGATTGATTCTGATTCTCTGTTTCAAAAGCTTTGTTTGATGTATAGCTCAACTCTAGGGAGGAGTTTTATTGGAGAAAATAGCTGTTACTCTGTCAGAGGAATAGGGTTTTTAAAATGTACATTGAGAGCCACCAAAAGAAAAATGCTTCCAAAGTTTGACTTCCGTTTTTGTCTTTGATCATAAGCATTTTTAATGTCATTTGCTGGATGAATCATGGTGGATAAACTCATTGCACAGCACACGTAGATACACATATCGTTAATGCCTGGTTAGAAAGCTAGCATCTTTCTCTTTTTATCAGATTACAGACTTTCTTGGGTTATTTGTTTGTCTTTGCTCTCCTTCTAGAATCACGCATCATTATCATATTTTGATACAGTTGTCCCCTATACTGTCCCCTTTACTGTCCAATTGTCCATATATCATAAAGAATGGCAATATGTATGTACATATTGCCATTCTTTTTGATATATGGACAATTGGACAGTAAATCTGTAACTCTAATGTGTTTGGTAGATTGTGTTCATTTAAGAAGAAACACTAGTATGTTGATCATGTTAGGTTCCTGATAAGTCTAGAGATGTCCTGTATGAAATGTCCCATACGACATATCATCTTCAAGATGTTAATCTTGTGAACGGAGTCTTAAATTCTTCTTTGATACATAAATGTAGAATATCTATTAAGTACATTTTCAGTGATATTTTTCAACGCAAATCACAGAGTTTTGAGCATAAACTTAATTTTCAAGAAAATCACACTTTTATGTGTCACGTACGACATTTGATAATTTCAGCTCTATCTATTTATAGTTGGTTGTTATTTCTTCATAGGGCCAAGCCTTGAACTAAGCGACCAGGAACCATGGGCAATTTATTTTTAAAAGTTGCCCCTGGTTCACTAGAACCAGGGGTAATTTCTGATGCACAGAGTTCGCTGAATTTAGAGAACCCCCTACGTGTGCGCCTTTTTACAATAGTCTTTGTATTTCAGCCAGAACAAACATTGCGAACTCTCGTAAGAGGTCAGCGTTTTTGTGACGACAATGTTAATCGCACCTTTACTAATTATCATCAGGAGCATGTGGAAGGTAACCAAATCGTGATAGTACTTTACTGTTACCATAACAAATATCTTCACTGCTGATTCCTTTCTGTAAGGGCTAGCAAATGTTATCTAAATGTCCCGTATATGTCATACACAGACCCGCCCTATACCAGGGAAAGTAGTAATCCAAGTCTAAGCAGAGCTGCCAACCTTTGGAAGTACAAATTAGTACTCAGCACCTCCAAAATTAGTATTTTTCAACCGGCCTTCCTTTCACCTATTAAAAACCTATTGATGTTGTAACGCAGCGCGAATGCATACTGTAAAGACCATATTTTATTTTTACTGATACATTTGATGTGAAACACACCAAAGAACACAACAAAAATTAACCCAGAAGAAAGAAAGAGGATAAATACGGTTGCAAACTGTGGAATAAATCAGACATACCAACACCAGAGATGCCAACTTTTGGAAATCAGAAATAGGAAGGATTTGAAAACGACACCAAATAATGTGCGCATAGCGCACATCTTGAGCGCAGAGCGCCCGATTATGCGGCCGGGGTCCAGGGCCCGCCTTAGGGCCCTGGAAGCTCTGGGGTTCTAGATGCTCTCTGGTGCAATATGAGCCTTATTTTGGAGCATTTTACATGTGTATTTAGTTAAATAATTCCCATTAAAAAAACAAAAACATACAAATTGTACAAAATGTATGATGAATACCTCTTTCAGACTTCAAAATAGATCTACAGCAGGTCTACTGGATACTGTATTCGGTCTTATACATGTACTTCTTTTGCTGATTTCGCTATTCCTTGTCAATATCCACGCATTGTTTGAAACTTTGAATCGTCCTTCGATGTTCCACCTCGCGACTCGACTATCTTCAACTCCTGCGTCCGCTCACACATCGCGCGACCGGGACCGCCGGCCTAGTCTGCAGTGAAATCCTAGTAGGCATATCGCATGTAGCTGCAAAAATAAAATGCAAGATGAATTTCTCTTTCAGACTTCCGAATACACAGGTACTGGATACTGTATTCGGTCTTATAGCACTTCTGTGAACATTTCTTGGTCTTCTTTTGCTGATTTCCCGCCATTCTCTGTCAATATCCATGCATTGGTTACGCCGAAATGGTCCTTCGATGGTCCACTGCGCGACTCGACTATCTTCAACTCCGGCGGCCGCTCACACATCTTGGCGCCGGGACCGCCAGGCTGGTCCGCAGTGAAGTCCCGTTAGTCATATCGCATGCAGCTGCAAGGTATGCGCGCTGCTGAGCCAATCTTCCGCTGCTCCTTATTTTGTTTGCTTTTAGGTGGAATTCGGTAGCAGCGAACATAGTTGAATTACTACATGCTAAAGTTAGCAGACGATATTTATCATGAATTCGGACTTTTGGAAGGCATTTTCGTATTTTCGTATTCCCTTCGAATTTTCGTAACAAATACCAATTTTTCGTAACGGTTGGCAGCTCTGTCTAAGATTCATAAACCTAGGTACCGAACAGCTGCACCCTAATTGAGATAAAAGAGATGATTGATTTTACCTCTTTGAATGTTTCTTTCTTTTGCTGGATTGCCCTATACCCCCTTCATCACTGCTCTCATCCATAGAGGACCTGTTAATACTCTCTTCTGGGTAGAGCTCCATGAATCCATTGTGACTCCATCTACAAATGCATTGAAATATGAAACAAAATAATACAAATGTATATATTATGCATGGTTGCAATGGGGACTGCCAGTAGTTAATAATATGCTTTTACAAAATTCTTACAGTTTTTCAACATCAGTGAAGTTTTCAATATCTGACAAGGAGACAGCAATCTTAACATACCAAGTTGTTATCATTACTATTTTCTTAATGCTCATCACTGCATGGGGTAAGGAACGATAAGCTAGCCGTACTAAGGCATCTAATTGTAGCTCACACTGTACATCAACTGCTATCTTTGGATGATTCCTTTTGTAGGGTGTCCATCTTTTGGTGTATTTCTGTGTATACAGTGCGTCCCAGAAACAACAAAACCCCAAATCACATGATTATTGTGAACAAACTATGAGCCGTATAGTTAATATTCTTTGCTTTTCATGAAGTAGAATTAATATGCTTCCAAATGATGCATTGATGACTTAAGATTAATCGATACAGGCTTCACTGAGCAACATTATTTTGGAAATGGCAAAATGTGGCAGATTTCGGTAAAACTATAAAAATTAAGGATCACACATGAACATGACCTGAATGAAACACACACAAACTTTCACAAATTAGAATCTTGCATGAAAATTCCATTACAGCTTACATTTCATGTCATACTCGCATGTGATACTTATGTTTTCACTGTTTTACAAAAGTCTGGCACAAATGGATTTTGACATACCGTTTTCTAAACAAGGTTGCTTGTTGAAGCGTGTATGGTTCAATGCCATCAATGTATCATGTGAAAGCATATTACTAGTACTTTATGAAAAGCAAGTAATTATTTCATATACTGGTAGCGCATAGTTTGCTCACAATAACATGCTATAAATTTATCCTCATAAAAGTTATTCCACTGATTTATGGAATGCTACATGTTACTTTCCTCACACTGAAAATTGCTCTAATTCTGTAATAATTTCTCATTTGAATTTCTTGATTGAATGTAATCTACATATTTATTTGTTTCATAATTAGAGAAATAAGATGAGAATAAAGAGCTTGACATAGGGGGCGACATAAATCAGAGAACTAAACTTAACCATGTTTTTAACTTTGTCCACCTCTATAATAAGGCCTACAAATCAGTCTTTCATAACGTCTCAAAGGGCAATACATCCCACACATATCACTCGCCTGAGAATCCGTTGATTTCCAATGTAATACAATAAAAGTTTGCATTACAAAAAAAAAATTGAGCTATGACATCATCCCATTCTCGAGATTGTCTCTTAAGTACATCAGAGTGTTCATTTTGGTTCAGGAGGAGAACATATGCTGAGAAAAGTTTGCCTCTAGGGTTGTAGTTGGTGGTGGATTATGCATTACGTAACACAGGGCTCCACACTAACCTTTTTTGAAAGTGGTTCAGGATTGAGCTTTTTGAGTGTGTATGCATGAACCCTGTATGCTATTAGTCCCAGGTGCCCTCTAGTGTAAAGCCCTGCATAAGACTTGACAGTCGGTCATAACCCCAAACCATAGGGCCAAGGACACTGCACTGGCTGTATCCCAAATTGGTAGGTGATTTGATTTTCAATCAGGACTCCTGAAAGACCATCTTTAGATGTGACCTTACCTCTCCACCTCCCTGCCCATGCCCTGTCTGCCACCTCTGTTCAGTCTCCGTTGATTCCATTTATCTCTGCTACTTCCACCGATCAGGTCTTGAGGGGAATCACTGTACATCTGCCCATATCTGACCGGACCTCGTGACCTTACATTAGACACAAAGAATATAATCAAAGCACAAAATGATAAAGGATTTCTTGTGCGCGATCATGAAAGCTAGAAATACATTGATTATTTCATGAAAGCCAGGAGATCATTAACTCCATGTAAATGTGTATGACTTATTTCTCTTCTGGCCTTTAGCAGATGACTTTTGTCTCCTTAAGATTCATCATTTATACAGTACACCAGGATAATTATGTAATATTGATTGTACTGTTTGCCAGATCACCAGTGAACTTTTGAACGTGAAAAGAACATGGATGCCACAGGAGTTGTGAGGCGGTCGCGTGTACTTGGTAGGATCAGGGATAAACTCTCATATCCCTGAATATCCAAATGTGAGCAGGACAAGGAGAACAGAGGAAGACGGCCTTTGAGAAAAAGAATGGTGAGCAACAAATCCTGCAGCACAAAAACACTATCTACCCTATATAATTATGAAATATTGATTGTGAACAAGAGAGAGGTTGGCTAGACAACATGGATGCCACAGGAGTTGTGAGGCGGTCGCGTGTACTTGATATCCAAATGTGAGCAGGACAAGGAGAAAAGAGGAAGACTGCCTGTTTTGAGGAAAAGCATGGTGAGCAACAAATCCGCTTTAGGATCGGTCTTCAAATAATTGTCTACTTTTAGTGTCACGCCTATATTAAAAGCGTATCATTAGATGTTTTGTACATGTTTGTACTCAAATTTTGAGGAAATACTTGGCAACTCGGGCAAATGTGTCATCAAGTCTTTTAATGTTATTTCTATCCACCTTTCAGGTTAACGGTAAGCCGGAAGCCAAAAGATCAATTCTTTGCTAAGTAGCCAACGTTGATCAGAACTAGGTCAAGAGAACATCGCACTGGAAATCCTGAGGCGAAAAATCAATCATCGTGAAGTTTCGATCATACAGAAAACGTAATGAAGTTATCCGAAATCGCTGTAAACTTGCAGGGAAAAGAAAGTTGATTATGGAAGATCTGACGACAAAGAATGTATATCTCCTCAGCTAAGTATGTGAAAGTGAGAGTGTAAAGAGTGCATGGACAATGGATGGGCGAATCTTTGCACTCTCAAAGAAGCCTGGCAGTAGGAAAAGACTGATCAACTGTCAACAAGACACTAATAAAATTTAGTTCTTATAATGTGCCTCCTGGTTGAGTTGATAGCTCATACTTTTTTTAATCGTATTGTAGGGGCTTCATTGCCTGCTTATTCTATTTTCTTTTTCCTTTTTCACCCATGTTTATATACATTGTTTAATTTTTGTGCCTTGATATGCTATGCTCTAATTGTAATTGTTTAGTGGAACTTGTAGATAAAACATGTTCTGCTTGCTTACACAAAATCTCAGAATGACGTGGCATTAATGACACATCTCATTGTTTTTCCCCTGTTTGTGTACACTCTGTTTTTCCATTCAGTAGTCTAGATAATGATAGTTTCTGTGCAATATTCAATGATAAAGAAGTTGATGCTTTTGATATTCGCTCACTAAATTCTTTGTCTCATGTGGGTGATGATGTATTTAATGATGACGATGATAGTTTACCTATTAATTCACTTATTAATGATTTCCAGCTACATGTAGACTATAGATACTACTTTCTTGATGAATTTTCTTCAATTTATGACAATCAAACTGATAATTTTAGTATTCTTCATTTTAATTCACGTAGTTTTTAAAAACAAAAACTTTGATGCAATATCTAATTTCATATCTACTATTCCTTTTCAATTTTCTATTTATGGTTTTTCTGAACCTTGGATACACAATAATACGCCTACAGTATGTTATTTCACTTAGATGGGTATACATTTATACACTCTGATCGTATTCAAGGTCGAGGCGGTGGAGTTGGTCTTTTAGTTTCTGAAATGTATGATTATAAATTCCAAACTGACCTATTCATTTCTTCTGTTAACTATGAATCTCTTTTTATCGAAAATAACATTTAGTTGGGATTATATATAGAAAAGTAAAACCACAATCCAACCTTAGAGAATTTACAGAAGAATTTGAAAATTGTTTAGAAAAAATGAACCGTGAAAACAAGCGTATTTATATAATGGGTGATTTTAATGTAAATATCATGCAGCATACAAATAATGCAGTTAGTAACTTTTTGAGTGTTATATATGCTAACTATTTACTTCCTTTGATTGACAAGCCTACTAGAATTAACTCCACAACTTCTTCATTAATAGATAATATTTTTACTAACCATTTTGACTATGATGTTTCTTCAGGTTTATTCTATAATGATATCTCTGATCATTTTCCTACTTTTTCAAATTACTAAACTGAAACTCAACATTCAGTGTGACCCTTTGCGTTACAGCCGGATTATTAATGAAGAAACTATTGATTCTTTTAAGATGTTGTTATGTAATGTAAACTGGACTGGAATAATTTGTTGTTCTGATACTGATGAAGCTTATAATATTTTTTTAGATTTGTTTACATCTTTGTATAATGAAACTTTGAAAAAAAATAAACCAAGGAAAAGAACAATAAAGAAGCCTTGGATCACTGGTAGTATCTTACGTCAAATTGAAAAGAGAAACAGATTATATTTGACATATTGTAATACTGTTTGGGCAAATACCTACAAGTCAAAATTGAACTCTCTTTTTTTGTTACAAAAGAAAGTGGTTAGAATTTGCTCTCTAACTTCTTATCGTGCCCATGGATAATGTTGGAATTCATTTCTTAATTCGGCTACGCCGCAATGATGTTTTTCATTAATAAACCAGTTATCTATCTATCTATAAATTAGGGGTCTTTTCCAGCAGGTGGTCTTTATGTACAAGCCACTGGCAGGTTTCAAAGACTACGCATGAAAAGACACTGTATTCTACTTGCAAAGTTGGTCCTCCTATACAAAAGGCTCAATTACAACAACAAAAGAAGAAAAAAAAAAAAAAAAAGAAAATAACATGGAAATAAACTGTGAAGTTTCATTACTTGTTAAACTGTGGGGTTGGGGTCCTTTCATTTGGTCCAGAAAAAATTGAAATGTAAGCTTTTGTTCATTTACTGAAATTAAAAATTCAATAATTTTTGTTGTAGAATTATTCATCTTTGCTCTCAAGCAAAAATCAGACTCGAAGACAGAAATTTACATAATTCAAAATTTACTATGGAAGTAGGCGAGAGTAAATTGTCTAGTACACTTTGTGGAGCTTAGCTGGATTTCCTGCCCCATGTTCATGTCACGCTCTTTTGATTGCTGCCTGCCATTTCTTGTATAAATAATGATTAGTACATGTAATAGGTGTTTATTGTCGATCTGTAACTGATCTCAAGCGAAAATGCCTAAAGCAATAGCTTCGAGATCACGATCAAAAATCAAAATCAAGATTGAAACCTGCTGATCCCGAGATGATGATTGTTGTTGTTGTCGTTATTAGCGTCATTATTTATTCAGCAAAAACAAAATTAAGAAAACAAATACAAACCAATAGTAAGGTTCAGAGTCATATATGGATGCCAGGAATAGAAAAAGATTAACTACCTAACCATTTAACCTGAAGGTTTTCTTTTCCAATCATCCAATCCATGTGATGTACATCAATGAATTTAGCATTTAAACAGCTTCTTTTCTCATTTTTTGATACACTCATCAGAAGGGCAATAATCACACAATACTAGCTCTAATGTCTTTCTGCTGGGCAATTGAAATGATTCCAATGGCTCATGCTTAAAACCTCTCTCTATGATATAAATAAAGATGACATACCTCTTCTTGGGTCTATCTGATCTCCGGTCTTTCTTCTTATCCCACATTTCCTCCTCCTCTTGAAGTCTGTTGTGAGTCTCTGTGTGACGAAGAACATTCTTGAGCAATCTTCTGTCTAGGTACCGCACCTTGGTAGCCATCTAAACCAAGTCTTGCTCCTATGTAATCCTAAGCACAAAAAACATACTGTCACAATGAGTGCTGTCCGCATGGAGAATCTTTCTCTAGATATTTATGTCAACAGAAAAGAAAAAAAAAAACATTGTAGAAACGAGTTTTCCATCTACAGAACACTTTTGGGATGGGGGAATGTATATTTTTTACTGTAATCAAAATGAACAAGAACTATGAAGGCCTAAATTGCAGTTGAGTTTACACACTCAGAAATCGAACTGAGGCTGTACATGTATTAAAATTTGATGAACATTACTCAAGTTATCGAATGGAAACCAGATTTGCATATCTAATGAGCTATGACCTTTGACCTACATACTCGGAAATTGAACTTAGGTTGTGTTTTGATACCATGAACCTTCATGTCATTAAAATCCGTCAAACATTACTGAAGTTATCGATCGTCAACCAAATTTGTTACGGACGTGACGAACGCGAACGGCGGCGTTACTATATCCCCTCGGGATAATAATAATGGCAGTGTCCTATTTTAAATAAACCCTACTCTAATAAACTCTTGATCAACAAGGGTAAATGAATGATGAATTCATAAGTTATATATTGATATTTCTTTAATTCAAAAACTTCAAAAGAAAGTTCAAAGATAATAACAAATAAATTCCATAAATGAATTTAATTCCGCAGCATTCTCCAACAAAAGAAAATAAGTCCATTTATGAACCTGCATTCCAAGGAAGGTAATTTGAAATTGACAGCAATAATGCTAAAATAAATGATGTCATGATATATCTTAAAATATTCTAAAGTAATATTCTTTTACATATTTTCTAGAAGAGATTGCAACAACAAAAAATTGGTTTGAAAGCCATGAAGTAATGTCACATCTTTGGTGTTGACTTGGCACAAACACAGCAGAGCCACAGCATTTCCACCATGGGCCTGTTAAAGGCGTGAGGGATAATAATACTTATGATGAAAGTTGAAGAAACCCTCCATTATCTAACGTAGTCTTGACGACTTTCGAAGCGCAAATGAATCTAAGGATAGTCGAGTTTCATGATTAAACCTTGTTTCATCAAATGAACCTTTGAATTTCTTTTTGTTTAAAAGAATTTTGAAACGCAGAGTGATCAGAGGAGAGTCAAGTTTAATAAATTAAACCCTTCCTTGGACTACCTTGGCGATGGGCCTGGATGGGGAACTCTGCGGCTCAAGATCGGCTCAAGACCACATGCCTATACGGGCATCGGAACGGCCAGTGGGAGTGCTTTCATTCATGTGCTGCCCAGGGAAATCTCTGGCCTGCAGTCACAGCACTGTGCTTCAACTTTACTCATAGACATAAGCCATTTACACTGAGCTTAGATTTCATAAATTCTGCTGAGTAGATGATAAGATAAAATAATGCTTGAGTCAAAACGTTTAACCGATGGTTAAACGACCGCATTCATCAAAACCGTTCAGCATTTCTCGCTCGTTTAACCAATTTTTTTCATGCATTTTGTTACATTATGCATGTTGTTTTTGTCCTTTACATGTTTTTTATATTTGCATCGGCACTGATCAGTGCATTGACGCCGATTCATTTCCCTGTTTCCATTTTTAGATACAGTTTGTTAGTGTTGCATGAGTCTTATTTTTGTTTTTTCTTCAGTAGTTTGGATGGGCGTGCTGACGCAAAACATGGCAAGGAAAAGTGACTATACTTTGGCTTTGACTTACTGAAATACTGTTTAACTCTCAAAAAATTATGGTATAGTATCATATTTTTCTCATTACCAGGTTTAAGCAAACTCAGAGTATTTATAGATGTTTCTGGGAGGGTCTTCCATATTATCGTCCTAACTTCAAAACCACACCACTGATTTCCATTAAACTCGAGACACGATCTTTAAAGAAAATATACGATTCAATATGACGTCATATTTGTATATGTGTTCAACCAATCAGAATCAAAGTATAAACAAGGGAAACGCTCTCGGCGGTCTCGCCTGCATTACGCAATTCGATATGATAAAAAAATTGAGGTTGGGACATTATTTATAGGCAGGGTGGCCCATTAGCAGGCCCTCAAAATTGCATTTTGAAGTGAATATTTACAAAAATTACAAAAAATTACAGGTATTTACTATTATTTTGATTGATAACTTTCATGAAATATGAACAAATTAATAAAAAAAAAATTAATTCTCATATTAAGTTGTGAAAACACAATCCAAGTCTACTGACTTTTGACCTTGTGACCTGGAATTTGGGTCATATGATTTGTGATACTTGATAACCCTTGGGTATAAGTTTCATAGAATTTGAACAATCAATTTTGAAAATATGCTAAAAAATTCAATATCTTGATGTTGATGGCACACAACAAAGTCTAAGTTTGTTGACCTAAAATGACCTTTGACCTTAACTTAGTGACCTGAAATACTAATCACATGATTAGGGATACTTGATAACCCTTAAGTCCAAGTTTCATTGACTAAGAACTTATACTTTCAAAATTATATCAAAAATTCAAAAACTTAACCTTACATGTAGGTTAAGTGTTTGATGTTGACGCCGCCGCCGTCACCTGAAAAACGGTGCCTATGTCTTGCTTTTTGCTACGCCTCCTACGGTCTACTGCGCTGCATGACAACTCGTCTCATTTCAAAATGATGGCTAACTCGATATTGGGTACGTAGCTCATGAAATATCATTATTTCTATAAGATATTATGAATATCTATAATATTATTTGTCAAAGCAAATCATTATTTTACGGTAAGTTTGTTGAATTGGACTCCCTTAAAGTCTTACGTAATATGTTTTTTAATTGGTTTAATGCTTAATGTTCCGATCAGCTCGGATGACGGTGTAGGGATGCAAACAAAACTTGACTCGTAACTTCAGCTTGCCGTTATACGTGCATTTTTTGAACGAACGGAAGGCACTTCAATGTTATTTCAAGGGCTATATCATGGGTAAACCATTAGGTTGTGGATATATTTTGACAATTAAATTAATGCCTATTAGTATTACGATTTAAGTCTAATAGTCTGATCAACATTTTAGTCTTGTGTGTGGGACTTTCTTAACTTGCTCAGTCCTCAGTTGATCATATTTCCACTTACGTTTCTGAACGCACTCGGTACCTCGCACGAAGCTTGATTTATTTCTTGCAGCCTCAATTTTGAGCAATAAAAACACCTACTGTCAACTGAAACGATATCCATTTATTTTTTAAAGCATCTTAATTTAATCCAATTGATTATTTTATTGTTTTGAAAGCAGTAACTGTCTTTTCCTTCGCATTATTAGAACAGCAACTTAGTCTAACTCCCGCTTCTGCATGCACACGATTTTTAGTGTCAGTGCAGTGGTGAAAATTTCGGGTACCCGGTCCCCGCCCAAAATTTTCAAGTCAAACCCGGGTTCAACAAAACCTGTGATGACTCAGGCCTAGTCAATACGCAATAGCATTCACTCTCTATGCTTTGCTGGAGTTAGACCAAAAGCTTCAGTCTTTCTATATCGTCGGTTGTTCCACTGAGACTATGTCTGGCTCCACTAGACCTCGATTATAGAGACTGAAGTACGACCTATGGGGACTGTACGGAACAAATGGTTCGGTTCGGCCAGACCGCGATGAATGAGATATGCAACAAGATTTTCACTCTTTACATCCTCATAAATGCTGCAATATTACAATAAATATATTAAAAAATAAAAAATAACATACATGTATATAAAGCTAATTTGATTTATGATAGCTCGCTCATTTAGATCCTAAATTAATGATTAAACCGAGAAAGTCTTGTAGTCAACATGATTCGTTGTCATCCATCGTGGTTTTAGTTGATGAATATTCATTTGTTCTTTCGGACGTCCAATAGCTACGTACGAGTCAGCCCGGCTTGACCCAGTGATATATGAATATTTGTAAATCCAATATGAAACGAGTGCTCTGATTGGCCATTGGCTATGTTTTGGTAGGTTGTCCCGGAAACATATCTGCCGGGTCATGTCATAGATTCCTACATGTAGTTCCATTGTTCTGAGATAAAAAAATGGATAACTCATATAAGTACATCCGTAAATCCGTAAATTTCGCATTTTGAAATAAGAAATAAAAAGATGCACAAATGTAAATAGGATAAAAATATTCAGAGTTTTTTCTATCTGATTTATAAATCAGAAAATTAGATTTAGAGTAAAGGAGGGGGTAATCAACCAACCGTTGACAGTTTTCCGGTCCATTGGATGCATGGTAAAATCCCTTTAAAATACATTGCATAATAGCATATCACATATCCCACACATACCATAACATGCCAGAGTCACTGAAGAACCACATTTGCAGTGGAAAATATGTCCTTAAATATCACATATTAACGATACGCATGTCTGTAAGGAATATGGGTACCATAAAATGAGCTTTGTTTCAAGTATTTTTCAGATTTAGAGCCCGATTTTGTGTGAGTCGCAAGCTCAAAAGTATCTCATTGCATGTATTAAATCAATGCAGCCAGACACAGCAGCGCACACTTGATATCTCTGTCTAATTCAGATTCCAATTTCCGATCACCGCAGACATAGTTTTCAGCATGGCGAGCTCTGGCGTGGGATACCTACCTGCGCCACCCGCTAGTGCTATAGATCAGCGGGGAAACGCACGGCGCATGAGCGCTTCCTATTGAATTTGTACATGCGACCGAAAACTGTCTCGCTAGGCCGATAACTGTCTCCGAAACAGTGAAAATTGAAATGAATATTGTCATAGTAATTTTTTTTTTCTGGGATTCTTTTTTTTTTAAATTATAGATCTAATAGAGTAAAGGAGCCGGTAATCGGCCAGCTCCAGTTTTCGGCCGATTGGTTGGATGGAAGGTAAAATCCCTCTAAAATACGTCGCATAATAGCATAACACATATCCCACACATACCATACCATGCCAGTGTCACTGAAGAACCACATTTGCAATGAAAAATATATCCTAAAATATCACATTTTAGCGATGTAATCGGCGGTCCCGCTACCCAAGTCTGAAAAATCGAGTATCTTACCCGTGTCTGTAAGAAATATGGGTACCATAAAATGAGCTTTATTTCAAGTATTTTTCAGATTTAGAGCCCGATTTTGTGCTAATCGCAAGCTCAAAAGTATCTCATCGCATGTATTAAATCAATGCAGCCGCACACCGCAACGCACACACGATATCTCTGTCTAATTCAGATTCCAACATCCGATCACCGCAGTACTAGTTTTCGGCCTGGCGAGCTCCTGGGAGCTCCGGCGTGGGATATCTGCTCCGCCCGCTAGTGCTATAGATCAGCGCGGAAACGCACGGCGCGTGCGCGCGCTTCCTATTGACTTTGTACATGCGGCCGAAAACTGGTACGCTATGCCGAAAACTGACTCCGAAACAGTGAAAATTGAAATGAATATAGTCATGGCAATTCGTGATTTTTTTCTGGGATTCTTGTTTTGTTTAAATAATAATAATATTTGCTTCATGATTTGAACAAAAAATGATAATAAATAGGAAGTAAAGGGTCCAAAAGATAGGATTTTGTCTTAAGTGGCCGAAAACCGGCTCCTTTACTCTAGACTCTAGTCTAATATTTGCTTCATGATTTGAACAAGAAATGATAATAGATCCATAAAAAAGAATTTTGTCTGAAGTGGCCAAAAAAAACCTCCTTAACAGTCTTTACTCTACATTTTTTTTTCCCCCAAAAAATTTTGTTAAAAACGATCCCAAATTTTGAAGATTGAAAAATCCAACGCAGCCATGGCACACACATAGGAGCATCACTATCCTGACTGTGTAGTAAAAGCTGTGCTTTTGATTCTCAACATTTCAAACACCACTGTACAAAGCTCAACTGATTTCACTCAAAATCGGTACTTTAGTGACAATCGATGACACCTAAATAGCAGTAAAATATATTTTGTTTAACTTACTGATGTTAAAAAGAATAATTTATAAAATCAAATTGTAAGTCTAGTGTCAAACTTTGCTTACAGCTGCCTCAACATGATTGTGTACAGTCTATGCGATATTGTGTGGTGTGTATATTTGTGTATAGACTTCTAGGTCCCTGCCTCACAGCATGTATGCAGTGCTAGAGGTCAATACGCTTTAGCATTGACTCTATTAGACCGAAAGCTTCAGTCTCTATAATCGTCGGTTGTTCCACTGAGACTACGTCTGGCTCCACTAGACCTCCGGTTATAGAGACAGAACGATCGCCTATGCCAGCCTGTGTTGAACTTATTCCGCTAGATTTTAGCCGCTAGGCCCCTCCCACAAACTTGCCACGGCCGTATTGTTATGCCCCCAAAATCCCCCAAAATGTCATTTTACCTCGTTCATTTCCAATTTTAAATTAGGCCTAGGCTATAATACATCGGTTCCACTTACTAACTTTATTGATATAATCCGTTTAATGGTCCCTTTTAAGGAAATTATGGGTCAAAATCGACATCCATGTTGAAAATCTTGCAAGCCGTGTTAAACTCTCGCTGCCGTCAATCTCATCCCTTCTAGTCTACGCCGAAGGCAAAATGATTATGAAGGAAAAACTGTGATAACGCCATTACGAACGTGTAGATGGCGCAGTTTTTCCTTCATAATCATTTTGCCTTCGGCGTAGACTAGAAGGGATGAGATTGACGGCAGCGAGAGTTTAACACGGCTTGCAAGATTTTCAACATGGATGTCGATTTTGACCCATAATTTCCTTAAAAGGGACCATTAAACGGATTATATCAATAAAGTTAGTAAGTGGAACCGATGTATTATAGCCTAGGCCTAATTTAAAATTGGAAATGAACGAGGTAAAATGACATTTTGGGGGATTTTGGGGGCATAACAATACGGCCGTGGCAAGTTTGTGGGAGGGGCCTAGCGGCTAAAATCTAGCGGAATAAGTTCAACACAGGCTGGCATAGGCGATCGTTCTGTCTCTATAACCGGAGGTCTAGTGGAGCCAGACGTAGTCTCAGTGGAACAACCGACGATTATAGAGACTGAAGCTTTCGGTCTATGACTCTATATGCTTTGCGGGAGTGCCATGGCATGAGCATTGCCATTGACTCTCTTTTTGCTGGAGTGGAAAAATCGTCCAGACGGCCTACATTCAAGCTTAAATTAGAATTTTAAATAGAGTATTGCATAGAATTTTCAAATTTTAACCTCTCCTACAATTAGGGTGTCTGCTCGCTCACTCTGTTTTGTGTACTAAAATCCTTCCCATGCCCGATGGCAATGGCTAAAACGGGTCGGGTCCTGCCCCGATAGATTTCTACATGTGGGACAACGGTACAAAGTTTACATTGAATTTGTACTTACCTAAACTAGTTTTGCTTGAGCAGGTCAGAAAGGTTGCTTAAAATTCACCTTTTCTGGTAGAAAATATAATTATTCATTGATTTACGACTACCTATTGTTGCAATCCTGTTTTTAAAAGTCCACCTTGCCTCCAAAAAGTGAATTTCTCCGAGTATTTTTCTATCTCGCTCCTTGAAGTTGAACCTGCAGCATGCTAAATATAGCGATCAGGAGTTATGGTGCCTCGAAGACCTCAAAATGAAAAGGAAATGGAAAATGTTAACTAAAATATGACAAACACCAAAATATTGCTCTTTAGACTCAAGGTGATGCATGCCTTCGGATCGGAAACAGAGAGAGGGAGAGGGTGTGTGTGTGTGAGAGAGAGAGAGAGAGAGAGAGAGAGAGAGAGAGAGAGAGAGAGAGAGAGAGAGAGAGAGAGAGAGAGAGAGAGGGAGAGAGAGCTCATTCCTCTGCTCTTCTTGGCTTACTGAGTGTAGCTAGTTTAAGTAAACTCCAAAAATAATTTGGTTTTAATAGATGAAGAAAAAAATCTCTTATAAACTTTGAAGAATTGATGTTTTTCAATATTGTGTATTCAGAATCATTGATTTTTTATATGAATAATTTATCAAAATTCACATTATTTCATGACTTAACTGAAAACATTACTCTATATTAGTGCATCCACACACAAAAAAACATATTACTATCAATACTTGGATGCGCCATAGTCTGTGAGGAAATAAGATTTTTAGGGGGAAAATTGCAAAAGTTATATTATCAATATAAAGAAAACAATTATAATACCTCACTAGCAGCGCTCAAAATACACGGGGGCGATGGGCGATTCACCCCCGTGAGCTCCATAATCGCCCCCATCAGGTTGTCTACGGGGGCGATTGCAAAATTAAAAATCGCCCCCGTGAAATTATAAAATAAAGATTTTCAGCGAATTGAATAATATTGAAAAGGATGCAATTCATAGTTGTACTCGATAATTCTCACTTAACATATTCTCTCTCTCTCTCTCTCTCTCTCTCTCTCTCTCTCTCTCCCTGTCTTGCATAAAGAAAATATGAAAATAATATTTTGCCTTGATTAAGAAAAATTGAAAATGTTATCAGTATTAAACAGGGAGAAGGAAAGGGGAGGAAATTAATCAAAACAAACATTGAAGAATCCAATTCACTGTTCTTTCGTGATGCATAAGAATGAAATTACATTAAAAGGTGAAATAATAAATTGAAGTGCGATGATAAATCAATTCTTTGACGTTGATTGATTGAATAAAAAATAATGAAACAATATGGTCTGATGGTCATATATCTTCGAATATTAGAAAGTTTCATCCACCATCGTGTTGTTGAACACTATTTGCAATTTAATTTTAATGCGGTGACTTGTCGGTTACGAGCAGAAGGTCATATCAGGCTTCTATATTCTATAATACTATCAACAGATATCTGGATAGAGACACTTCGTCACATCAAGCTACGAGAAAGTATATCATCATCTCACAGAATTCTACTCGAACACCGCATCGAAATTCTTTTAACCCTTTTTTTTTTCTTCTTCCTCTTTTTCGGTCCCTTTTAGCTCTCCTTTTTTCCTTTTCCTTCCTTCTCTCTCTCTTTTTTTAGCGGGGGCGGGGGAGGCAAAGGCCTTTTGCCCCACCCCCATCCGCAACTTGTTGGCGGGAAAATTGCAAGTGATATCCCCCTTCTTTTCTTTACTTCTTACTCAATTTTCCTTCCCTTTATCTCCTCTTTTCCTTTTTTCTTTCCATTTCCTTCCTTCCTTCTATTTTGTTTTATTGGGGGGAGGCAACAGCCTGGGAGGCAAGGCCCTTTCGCCCCCCGATCTCCTTCTTCCCCCTTTTCTTTTTTCTTCCTCTTCTCTCTCTCTCTCTCTCTCTCTCTCTCTCTCTCTCTCTCTCTTGTGGAAAAAGGGGGGGGGGTGTGGGGGTGTGTGTGTGGGGGGGGGGGGTGTGGGGGGGGGGGGGCAAGTCCCGCTCACCCCCGCTGGATCCGCGCCTGCATCTACCTTATATCTACTAACGTTAGACCCTAATAATGGATCTAGACGATTAATTGACCTGGTCTCAGTTACGGGTAAACTTTTTTTTTCTCAATTACTTGGTCTAACCATGAAAACCGTCTAATTTTACTTTAGATTTTCAAACAGTAACAGTTACGACCTAAATTAGGCCTAAGGCCAAGGGCTGTACTCTACATTTTAATAACAAATTAACGTTAACGTTAGACTTAAAGGTAAAGACCAGTATTGGCAACGCCCCAATTTCAAAAAATGAAATGGAAGCTCTCATTACCAATCATTTGAAAGAATATGTTTTGACTAATACATGATGATAAAAAATTTGCCGGGAAACCGCCTACTAATTCATATATTTGGTAAATTTATTTCTCTCATGGTCTGGTGAGGGTAGTCCCATATACATCTTTCTGTGTATAGTGCTTGTAACTTTACGAAGAATGAGCCAAATTTCTTATCATTTTGATGATTCCAGAACCTTGCAGATGCTAGATGCTAGATGATCGACCTTTTCTGATCGATTCCACAACGTTTCTTTCACAATGCAATCGCATGACCATTACTGGTCTTTACCTTTAACTTAAACTGTTGTTTCTCTGTGATACAAGAGGGAAAAGAACACTTCTTTTTTCAAAAAAAAAAGAAAGAAGAAAATTCCCCCTTTTTCCCCCTTCTTTTTTCCCAGGGGGGGGGGGGGGCGGCCCCCCACCCCCTCGATCCGCCACTGATCACGGGGATAAAAGTATACAGCTATGTAACAAGTAAATAAAATTTTCTAAGAGGGAGAATGCCGACTTAAATAAATGATAATGAATAGAAATTTAACCAATAGAAATTTGTATTAAAATAGGAGCCCCCGTCAGCACTAAAAGAGCCCCGTGAGAAGGTTCACGAGGCTATTTTTTTTTGGAAGAGCCCCCGTGGACAAAAATTTAATTTGAGCCCTGCTCACTAGGTAATGACATCACAGACTCATGAGTGATCGAGTTACCAATTTGTCTTGTGATTTTCAAAGTTTATCATTAAAAGTTCGTAACTTTATTATTATCTTTTTATCTTATTAGTAATCCGATTTTGCTCAATATTGTTTTGATTGGTTTGTCTGATTTTACTGCTTCCATTGAAAGTAAGTTATTTTTGTAGTGGACTTGCGGTGTGAGAATGAATACGCCCACCAACATGTACATGTACATCTTACCCTCGAACTTTAAACCTTGCAGTATTATCCTCATGTTTAATGAAAACGGCACACCTGGCCTTTTCGTACACGATTGTACATAGTCAGCACCCCGATCCCTTATTCATATTACCCAATACAATATAGTAACCATGCAACCACACCAAAAGGAGGATGAAATCTACTCCGCCCCACTTGATCCCAGACCAAATGAACAAGATCAGCCGCCCAATCAGCAAGAACGCGCCGATACCAACGATGAAGGCACGGACAACTCCCCAGAACACACCCTTGGTGTGTCTTCAGAGCTAGACATGGCAATAAATATATATAAATAGATAGCTTGAAACGTCTATTTCTGAAGTATAATAAAGATGTCATTACCTCAAAAATAGTTACAGTGAAAAGTAAAAAATAATCAAAAACCCAAAGTGGTAGTACACAATTCCATTTTATATGGTGAAATTATTCCGATTTGCAATACATGCCGAGGCGTCTCCAAATGGGAGGGGGTGCGACACCCCCACCTGTCAGGATATTGTTTGTAAAATTGCGCTGCCGTCGGGAAAAAAGAGAAAAGGGGGAGGGAAAAGAGAGAGGGAAAAGGAAATAAATAAAAGGAAAGGAAAGGAAAAAAAAAAGAAAGAAAGAGAAAAAAGAGGGGGGAGAGGAAGGAAAGAAAAAGAAAGAAAAGAAAGAAAAGAAAGAAGAGGAAAAACAGAAGAAAAAGAGAAAAGGGTAACAAGAGAAACGGGGGGGGGGGGTGAAAGAGAGGAGAGAGAGGGGAAGGTAAGAGCATGAGAGAGAGGAGGAGTGGGAGTGAAAGAGGAAGGGGTTGTTGGGTGAAGTCGTCTCGTCGAGGTATTCGTGTTCTATATCAATGCAGAAGTGAGATGTATAATGTCGGTCGGCCGACAAGTTTTTTTCTCTACGAACTGTGACATTTTATCCGAGGTGACGACTTCGAGAGTGACTACAACTACGAGAATTGTATTTTATCGAATTTTCACTTTCCTATAATATCAGCTAAAGAAATAAGAGGTTTAACATTTTCGGGCAAACTAAATTCAAACAAGGATAAAGAGTCAACAACCATAGAACGAATCATCTTCCTTTCTCTAATATTTTGATGAAACTTGACACCTTCCGCGCTTTGCGCGGGAGGGAGAAACTTCATTTAGAACGGTACAATGAATCGTCTTCTTTCTCTAATAATTTAAGGAAACGTCTAAGCTTTCGCGCTTCGCCCGGGAGGGGGGGGGGAACTGAATTCAGACAAGGATTAAGAATCGAGTATGGTAAAACGAATCGTCTTCTTTCTTTAATAATCTAAGGAAACGTCTAAGCTTTCGCGCGGTAATAGGGGGTTGGGAAAATAACTTCAGACAAGGATTACAAGTCGAGAACAGTACAACGAATCGTCTCCTTTCTCTCATAATTGAAGGAAACGTCAAAGCTCGAAGCGCGGTTGGGGAAAACTGAATTAAGACAATGAGGGTTAAGTGTCGCGAATGGTACAACGAATCGTCTTCTTTTTATAATAATAATGTGAAACGTCTAAGCTTTCGCACTTCGCGCGGGGGGGGGGGGGGGGGGACTGAATTTAGACAAGGAATAAGAGTCGAGAACAGTAAAACGAATCGTCTGTTTTCCCTAATAATTTAAGGAAACGTCGAAGCTTCCGCGCTTCAAGCGCGAGGGGGAAACTGAATTCGAATACGGTACAACGAATCGTCTTCTTTCATCTAATAAGTTAAGGAAACGTCTAAGCTTTGCGCAGGAAGGAGGGGGAAACTTCATTCAGATAAGGATTAAGAGTCAAGAACAGTAAACCGAATCGTCTGCTTTTTCTCATAATTTAATGAAACGTCAAAGCTTCCGCGCTTCGCGCGTGAGGGGGAGTAACTGAATTCAGATAAGGATTAAGAGTCGAATACGGTGCAACGAATCGTCTTCTTTCTCTCATAATTTAAGGAAACGTCAAAGCTTCCGCGCTTCGCGCGGGAACGGGAGTAACTGAATTCAGACAAGGATTAACAGTCGACAACGGTACATCAAATCGTCCTCTTTTTATAATAATTTAATGAATCGTCAAAGCATTCGCGCTTCGCGCGGGAGGGGGGGGGGGGGGGGACTTTATTCAGACAAGTCGAGAACGGAACAATAACTCGTCTTCTTTTCCTAATAATTTAAGGAAACCTCTAAGCTTCCGCGCTTCGCGCAAGAGGCCTATCACCTACACCCCCTAATGAGCGCGCTTTGCGCGCTCTTAAAGTGATTCGCTTACTCACTACCGCCCCTCTCTAAAATAAGATCCTAGCTCCGCGCCTGCATTAAAATATAAAGCTATGATGCTGACTAATAATTCGTATATTTATGTCGTCGAGGAGAATGACCATTTGCGCATACGCAAGTACTTCAGATAGGCCATAGGAAAAACAATTTAGCCTTCGGCCCGGGTGTTATATGGTTAAATTTGTAGATATTGAGACATTTAATTTTGTCGGTAATTGGTGGCTAGTTTTGTCGGTAATCGTTGGCCTCTACACCCCCCCCCCCCCCCCCCCCCACTGAAAAAGGTCTAGCGACGCCCCTGAATACATGTACCTGCATTGTTAGGCGATTAGCAATTTCTCGGGCAACTGTAGATCAGTCGTCTCACTGGGTTATTTTAGCGATATTTTTTTCCGGTTGAGAGGACACACAATGAGATGAGCTTTTAATCAATTTGATTAAACGGCGTTTTCCTCCAAAACTGGAGAATGGAGCCATGAAAGTGATTGTGATGAAAGTTAAGACAATTGAGCCCCCTTTGCTTATGCGAGCATGACCACTCCACCTTTCATTACACTAATGAAACTGCGGTCAGCCGGTCAGATCAAGCGGCGGAAAATTACAACAGGATAATACTTTTTATTAGGGTTAATTCAACGCTAGTACCTTTTACAAACTGAGGCGACCCTGGCAGACATTCAGACTATTCATAGAGCAGGTGATACAACTGGAAACTATTAACACTAATCTTAATGCATAGCAAAGAGAGTACATCGAATATACTTTATTATGATAAGAACAACATTTTCAACAGCATAGGAATAGGAAGTATTATGTTTCATCAATGAGTAATTGTTTCAACAAGATTGGATCTCTTATTGGACTGTGCGGATAGAAACTAATCGAATCCGAGGACAAACCCTGATAATTAAGCTGACTGTGGATTCGATACTTGTCTAATTTTATACATTGTACTATGGCTTTGGTTAATACAACTGTTATCATGTTTCGTGCTAATCATCCAGCTTACACCGGAGTTTGTATCGTGTTTGCCCTTCTCCTCATGTGTGTTTCAGTCGTCGGAAACTTTCTGGTAATCGCAACTTTTCTAAAAACTGATCGTCTTCGAAAACCTACATATTACCTTCTATCCAGTTTAGCTTTTGTCGACTTTTTAAATGGTGCTGTTGGCATCCCGGTGGAAATATTTAAAAGATTTGTACTTATTGAATTCACATGTCTTTATACATCGTCACGGTATTTATCAGCACTAACTTATCTTTTTGGGGGCAATTCTATGATACATTTAGTCATGGTGACCTGGGACCGTTACATCGCTGTCCACAAACCTCTCCGCTACGAAACGCTCGTCACTTCAAAGCAAATCGCACTCGGAATTTTCTTTAGCTGGTCCATCAGTATCAGTTTGGTGATTGGCTTAGTGGCCAAGAAAGAAGACCCAACCCTGATCGGAAACTACTGCGCCGGTACTAATTATACTCAAACCGATCGCCTTACTAGAATAGGGATCTTACTCGTTATGACTGCTGTTTTTTTATCAGGAATTACATTGATCACCCTTAACGTTATTATCCTACGTACAGCTATGCGACATGCGCGTAGAATCGCTCAGATGCAGCAGGCGGTCGGAGCCGGACATGACGATACTACTTCTCGTGTAAAGGCATCGCAAATAGTCACAATTATCACCCTTGGGTTTCTTATCTGTTACATTCCAACAAGTATATTTCATATCATCCTCGGCATTGACATTGAGGGTCGTCTGTTCAGTCGACCTTTTGATGACGTCACAATATTCATATTTTACTGCAGCTCTGCTCTGAACCCGATTATATACTGCTACCGTGATCGTGTATTTCGTGAAAACGCTCTCAGATATTTCAAGGACAAAGCTGTCTGGAGAAATCTTTGTTCTGCTGAATCTACTTTTGTTTAAGGGGAGACATGAACCAGATTTGTCAGTAACGGGCCTATCACTTTTTAAAAGGGACACAAAACCGCTTAAGTTCTTATTCGAAAAACAAGGGCACTCATCAGAAAGAAGAAAGGGCACTTTTCGAAAGTAGAAATTGACACTTATCAGAGGGGAAAAAAGGCAATTATTAAAAAGGGAAAATAATTCGCTAGAAAGTACAAGGGGGAATTGTCAGAAGTAAAAATGGACACTACTCAGATATGAATAGCGGCTTATTAGAGGCAAAAAGAAAGATTTGTTTAGTAAGGGAAAGGGCACTTATCAGAAGTAAAACGAGGCACTTATCGGTAGGGGAAAAGGAACTCATTAGAAAATAAAGGAACATCTGTCAGATTTGGAAAAGGGCACTTATTACATTTTTCATTTTTTTAAATATTTTTTTTATTGATGTTTTTTGTTTTTGTTTATTGTTGTTATCTTTGCTTTACATTATGCTATGAATGCTTTGGGAACTACGCACAAGGCCTAAGGGCTTTATTTATGTAGTTCCCCATTTCATTATCTTAATTTGTTCATGAACTATTTTGTAGCTTTTATCAATGTAATTTTTAACCGAGACTGCAATAAATGAGAATTGAATTGAACTGAATAAAAGAAAGGGGCATGTATTAGATTTAAGTCAGGACACTTATCTATCAGAGGTGAATATGGGCACTTGGAAGAAGGGGAAAGTGGCCCTATACAATTGAAAAGGGAATTGTTTTGAATGAATTTTTTCCTCTTTAAGGTCATTGAAAAGGTAGGGGTGTCCTGGAAAAAGAGGGGATGTGCCCCCTCCCCGGAAGCACCGCCTCGGACTAAAGGAAAGATGTTTATGATATGATACGAAACGACGCTTAGTCCTCTGAAGGAATACGAAGCATATTACGAAGGTCATCATGAAATATGCGAAGTATGAATACACTATTCTCAAGAGAAGTTATGAAAACTTATCAGGCTATGTTAGAGTAAAATATGACTTAGCATTAATGATAACAAACATCACGATGGTCAAACGATATAACTTATATAAAGTAAACGTTGGTGAAAACCCGATGATAGTAATTACAGTGAGTTTTTATAGGATCTGCATTCATTTCTTAATCGTCGATATTGAGTAAGACATTAATCTACTGTTGCTACAGTCAATTTGTAAAGCTGAATTGTTATCAAAACTTCATAAATCAGTTTTGAATAACAGTATCTAGATGCTCGGACATAGTGATATCGTACACGTTGGATAGATTACTAGATTTTATCAACCACACATTATAATCAGAAAAAAACAACAACGGATATAGAGATAAGGGTACTTAAACTTTAGTTTAGGCTTGTCTGGTCTTTCTCTCTTTTTAATATAATTTGTTTGATATCGTTGTATGTGTTATTACATCTTTTAAACTGTTAATGTTTGCTTATATTGTTCGATCATGTAAATCATGTAAATGCATGTTTGAATGTATTAATAATATTGTATCTCTTGTATCTTGCTTTCGATCACTTTACAAGAAATAAGGGGAATTTGTTTACACTTGATTTCATGTATAATGATTTGCAATTGTATTATATTTCTAAATTGTAAGTGTGTATGCTTTTATTGGAATTAAATAGAGTTGAACTTGAACTTAGACTTCAGATACGTGAATTAACAAAATGGATTTACAATGTGAACAATTCAAATGTGTAAGAATACAAACACAGCTAAAATATGTGGAGCTTTATAATTATAAATGATATCCGAACAAGAAACTAGCTTTTCGAGGCTATAATATGGTAATGCAACTCAAGACGTTACATTTCCTTAGTCACATGTTATAACATGTTAACACAAAACAAACTTCTCATTATCTTTGCTTTCGCTCTCCAAGCGAAAATCATTTGTTCTCGTCTCTGAAATGCTTGTAAAACATTTAAAATACTCATTTTATCTAGTCATTAAAGATAGTGTATCCCTTTTGCAGCCAACATCAAATTGTGTAGAACTTTGCAGGTACCATGAATATATGTTTAATTCAATTCAATTTATATTTATGTCATGTATATCCTATAGATCTGTGAAATTTAAACGTTAGCAGTGACCTAGTAATGCGAGGGAAACCGTTCACTCTCTAGACTTCACTGTTGAGTGACTGACTGACCTTTTTAAAATTTGTTAATAACATCGATACAATTAGCTGTGAATGTGAATTATCATATTTTGTACACATCAATGACCAGCTTATAATAATGACCAAAATTAAACTTATCGAGTCTTTACTCAATACAAAACGTACGACAATGCGATACAAGGGTCTGACATCAGATTACCTTCTAGGCCTATTTTTTGCAATTTGAATATTCCTAACGCCAATATCATTCCAAATAGAGGCAATTGCCATATGCAGTTCTAATCTTTTAAGAGGAGTTTTAGTAGGTATTATCTCTTGTGTACCATAGGATTTACATTATTTTATATTTTCAGCCTGGAAAAGGGACAAACTACCTGTAAATCAATCATGGGCGTCAATCCTTACGTAATACCTATTGTTCACACTGTTCAGGGGGGGGGGGGTGAATGAATAGATCACCACCCTGAACAATAGGTATCAATTACAGATCTACGCCCATGAAATCAATGATATAAAACAAGTGAACTGACTTGACTCTCTTCATTTGTGTCTTGTTTCTCATAACACTATATATCACGTGGCAAACTTTGACATAAGAAATAACCTTTATTCGTCAACTCCTTGATGACTTTGTCGTGACTTTGTGTATTTAATCATACCAAATGTTATTTCAATGCATGTAAATAATGAAAATGCGCTTTGGTTTGTTGCTTTCATGCAATGAGTTATCTAAAAAAAGAAAAAGAATTGTTTAAAGGTACTATGTCCCTTTTGCAGCCAACCTCAAATGCTGTAGAACTTTGCAGGAATTATGAATATGTCATGTATGTCCTATCTGTGAAATTCAAACGTTAGCAGTGTCCTCATATTCAAATTATGCAAGGAAACCCGTTTACTTGCTAGACTTCACTGTCAGACACTATTGAGTGACTGACTGGCCTTTTTTCTTCTTTGCTAATAACATACATAAAAAGAGTTGTAAAGGGTACATGAGCATTTGTCTACATCAATAACCCACTTCTTGTGACGGCCAAGATTAAACTGATTGAATCTTTGCGCAGCATAAAACGTAGGACCATTCGGTACAATTGTCTGAAAATCAAGACTATTACTTTTGGGCTCTATAGCCCTAAAGTCGATTTGACAACTAATAGTCATAATTTTCCCACTTAAAGTCTGTTTCAAGCCCCACCTTTTTTAGGGAAGTTCTAAATTAGTATTATCTTTCAAATGCAGTTGGAATTTCACTTTTTCATTTTTTTGGCCTGCAAATGGGACATAGTACCTTTAACACAATAAACATACTATTGTAATGATTCCACATAAAAAACTTTAACACAGTAACAAAGTCTAACAGCTCTAACAAAACAAATCAAACAAATGCATACTCATTACGACTTATTATATACCTGTAACAGTAATTTAATGTTTAACATATATATTCACCATATCTCTGGGTGGTCTGATTATTTTGCGAGATGTTGTCTGAGTGCGGAAGGTTTTATGTTTATCAACTTCTATTACTTTCTGCGTAGCATTCTGTTCTAGACTCGGATTATGTAGGTTAGTTTGGTTGGGAATGATATTGAGGTTGTCATTGAGAATGTAGGTCATTTAAGGCTGCCATTGAAGTAATGATTGAGAATGTAATTTTTGTTGTTATTGAGAATGTCTTTGAGAGTATCATTGGGGATAATCATAAGGCTGTCATTGAGGTCATTGAGGTTGAGGTTGCCATCAGTGGCATACGCAGGATTTTTTCAAGGGGGGGGGGGGGGGTTTAACATTTTGAAATCGGGCCGAAAATTTCGCAACGACTCAGCCAGCCGCTGAATAAGCGGGGGGGGGGGGGGGTCTCGCAATTTGAAAATTTGACATTATTCTTCGTTGGGGGGAGGGGTCATCTTTTTTAGGTCAACCATGGGCATAAAAAAAAAAATCCAAAGGGAGGGGGGGGGGGGTATTAAAAATACACACATAAAAAATACCAAGGGGGGGGGGGGGGGGGGTTTAACCCCCTAACCCCCCCCCCCCCCCCCGCGTACGCACCTGGTTGCCATTGAGGTTGTCATTGATGTCCAACCCTTGAAATAAGTTCATTTGTATGAAAGCAGAAAAATAAGACAAACAGAAATGGGAAAGTTTGAAATAAATCGGACCCAAAATATGAAAGGAATGAAGGTTTGAAATAATCGTGACGCTGACAACTCTCCTGTTTGTCGTGTACGCAAATATCCTGAATTCCTGTTTTTCTCCCCCGAATAGTGCCTTGTCCCTTGGGGCACTACTCAAAATATATTATGGATATTATGGATAATGTGGAGCCAATATATACCTATAGTGAATATAACTTTCACATTTCTGGTCCGATATCATTCAAGCTTTCAAAAGTCAACTTCTCTGATTTTTCTGCTTTCCACTAGTCAATTATTGTTTGCAATCAAGGTTGTATTTCCCTAAATGATGGATGTCATTAATGTCGTCAATGAGATTGTCATTGAGGATGTCATTAGGGTTGAAATTCAACAACCCATCATTTATGATCCAAGCAATATATAATTAACAACCAATCAATGATTCAATCAATCTACAAATTAACAACCAACCAATATACAATTTACAACTTAAAAACCAATATATGATCCAAGCAATCTACAAATTAACAACCAATCAATGATCCAATAATTCTACAAATCAACAACCAATCAAATTCTACAAATTAACAACCAACCAATCTTCAAATCAACAACCAATCGATCATTTACTCAATCCACACATTAACCACCAATCAGTGTACAAATCAAGAACCAATCAATAAACAAACCAGTCTACATTTATCAACAACCAATCAATAAATAAACCAGTCTACATCTATCAACAACCAATCAATAAACAAACCAGTCTACATTTATCAACAACCAATCAATAAATAAACCAGTCTACATCTATCAACAACCAATCAATAAATAAACCAGTTTACATTTATCAACAACCAATCAATAAATAAACCAGTTTACATTTATCAGCAACCAACCGATGATCCAATCAAACTACAAATCAACAACCAATCAATAGGTCATCAAGACAATCTTATAATTAATCTATTTAGCAATTAAACACTTCATTGACCTCATGAACTTTTTTACCAAGACAAAACTCAGAACTTTCTTTCAAAATTCAGTCAGGAACAATAAAACTTAATTAATCATTTTGCTGTTTATTATTTAAAAAAACACATCAATGAACACACATTTCATTTGAAAGACATTTAAAATTGCTTACAAAAGCATTTGGACGGATATCAATTTACTTTCCTCTCAATAAGATCTATGAGTATACAGTGTGTAAAAAAAAAAAGAAAAAAAAAAGTATACCCAACTTTAGTAGCTTTTTATAATTAAAAAAAAACAAAAAACAAACATAATTAGTGCTATATGGAAACTTATTTCATGGTTAAGAGTAAATTGTTTTCTGTCTAATGATACTATATATATTTTTTCTTCTACGGATGACTGAGCACCAGAGTTTTTAAAAAATGTCTTCAAAATCTCCTTATACCAAGTTTGGGCTGATCCATTGAATGTGGGTCAGGCTATATGCATGCGGTACATGGTCTAACATAAATTCTGCTTAGTGGTTCATGCTTCAGTGCTTCATTGTTTAAAGTGATCCGATGTATCTTAGCTTTCACAGAAACTTGATTCAATCCACAGGAAAATCTTAAATTAGTAGAAAACATCCTGCTAATTCATAATTCATGATATCTAAAACTTTACTTCTCACTAGCCCATTGCACCATTTAATATGCTAAAGGTGTGTAAGATGCATAAGGTATTTGTCTTGAACAGCACATGAAATTTGGAGGTTTGCTGACCTCAAAGATTCAGTAAATGCAACAAAGAAAGTCATAATGATAACTAACAAAGATCTTGAGAGTAGACTCTTATGAAACGATAGGTAGATAGCATCCATGTAATTAGTAAACGTTGTCCATTTTGAATGACTCGATGTCCAGGTTTCCCTTAAACAAGGAATGCAAGAGAAGCCAAGATTGTGTCATCAAAACAAAGGATATATTCTCTATTGTGCTTGTAAATGAGTCCTTTCTTGAGTCTGAGTTGCATTTATTACCTTTTCTATTTCAATGCACAAAACCATGGGTGTCGATCCGTAACTGATACCTATTCATCAGGGGGGGATGATCTATTCATTCATCCCCCCCTGATGAATAGGTATTACGTAAGGATCGACACCCATGCACAAAACCAATATGTCGGACTGAAATAACAGTGCAGAACGGCTTTAGACCAAACTTGGTACGAGAGGATTTCAACATCACCTTTCGAAAAGTCATTGATGGCAGGCGATATTATAAATAAGATACCGTTAGACAGAATATTAGTTACTCTTTAAAATAATATTAGTTACTCTTTAAAATGATATATAATTCAAGTTCGCACAGGTTATAACTTTAAAATAATCTACCAAAGGTGTGTGTACTTTATAGATATGCACTGTATATTTTGTAACCAACATAATATTATAGCAATGACTATATTTACTTCACAGAAGTCTTTTCCTGCCCAATAAAATAACAAAGTTGATTGAGTAGTGTATGTCAACCATCATCTCTTTTGAATACATTCTTTGAGAGTATGACTCATGTTCTGGCAACAATTGGTCTGCTGTAAAATGACTTACACCAACCAAGTTTATAGACCCAGCCCTATAGAGTACCGAAGCTGTGACGTCATAAAAATCTATTTTGAGAATTTCTCAATTTTTTCTTCATTTTCCGAAAGAGCATCAAAAATAATGTCCAAAAGTCAAAAACCAATTGAATATGTTAAGTATTGGCTGAGATATGACCATCTGAATGAGTCAGAGCAATATAATACTGGGTTCCTATCTCTCTCTCTCTAAGTGCCATATCGTTTGACTTTGGCGATCATGCTGTTCCACAACCCTCGGTTCCTAGCCTTCTGTATTAGTATGATAGTATCACTCCCAGTTCTTTCACTCCTCTCTCTTCCAACAATTTCTGCAGACTGTCCATCCAAGTATCCCCCTTCTTCCCCTACTCCTTCTTCCCACAATTTTCCCTGTCAAAGCAAGATTCTCTAGGCCTTCTTTACGTGTAATGTGACCCATGAACTTCAACTGCCTAATCAACACCTCACGTATCATCTTCCTTTGCACTCCAACTCGTGTAAGAACTTCCTCATTACTAACTTTGTCAGTCCAGGGGATTTTCATCATTCTTCTTAAAAACCACATTTCGCAACTTTCCAAACGCTTTTTAGTATCAGAGGCTAAAGTCCATGTTTCACTACCATACATAAGTACTGGGTAGATGTAACAATTCAATACCCCTATTCTGGTCCTCATACACATTGTTCAATTTGTCAGAATTTTGCCTAACTTTGAAAATGCAGATTTAGCGAGAGCTATCCTTCTCATAGGAGATCTATTTATTCAGGTGGTCATATCTCAGCCAATACTTAACATATTCAATCAGTTTTCGACATTCGGATATTATTTTTGATGCTCTTTCGGAAAGTGAAGAAAAAAATTGAGAAATTCCAAAAATAGATTTTGATGATGTTGTACCATTGGCAGTGAAGGAGATCACAGTCATAGGGCCACAACTGAACAAGATGGATTAAGGTACCGTTTGATAATCATGTAAACGTCTTAATTGCTACAAACTTTGACATAATGTGCATTAAAACAATTATCATTGATTACATGGACATGGTAACTAATCATTTGTTCTCATATCAGTTAGTATTACTACCAAGCAAGCACGGATCTCCTTGGTATGATCCAGATGAGGTTGGTTATTGGTTATCGGTGGTTATTTTACCTGACGGCTAAGTAAGCAACCTGACGGCCGACGGCCTTAGGTCCTTTCCGAGGGACCTGGTAATGAGGATTAATGACTTACCAAAGGGCACTAGCGCATTTGTAATTTGTAATTTGCATAGTAATAAAGGTGCACGGTCCGTATCCTGGGGATAAAGAACAGAATTTCCTTTACTTGTTTCATTATTGACAATGTCAGCAATGCCCTAGCTTCCACATAGTTTGATACTATCTTCTTTTCTGTTATTGTCTCTACACAAATCAGAATATTGGATGGATGTTGCTGCTTATAATTATATGGATGAGGCGCGATGGCTCAGTAGTAGAGCTGTGGTCTCGTAACTGGGAGGTCCTGGGCTCATAACCAAGTCGATATGCTAGTGCCTTTTGTTAAGACATTAGTCCTCATTACCAAGTCCCTTCGGAGAGAGGACTTAAATCCATCAGTTGCTTACTTACATACACATGCTTTCTTAGCAGTCAGGTAAATCAAACATACATGTATCTGTTTCAGCCCTGCCTTCGCCTGCCTGTTCCATTTCCAGTACAGCAGCTACAGGACATTGTGCTGATGATATGGCTACAGCTGTACCAGCCTCTCGAGCTAGGCCTGCGCTTTCCCATATCAATACTACTGCCTTGACAGATGGTGCCAATGTGGTCAAAGACATGCCAGTCACATACCCACTTCATCTCCAACAAAAGAGGACAGTCCTGATAGGAAAATAATATTTTTCAATTTAACAGTCATCACTAGATTATTTGATATATTTCTGCATGATTTTAATGATGCATTCTTTTAGGGTGGTACTTTAAACAGGTTTCTTGTGTTGTTTAATTAGACCACTATTATACTTTTCTGATGATCCAAAATCAATAACCTCATTCAATTCATCATTTCAATTTTTTTCCAGTTCACACTTACACAAAGTAGGAAAAGGCTGAGGAGAAGCCAGTTTACAAACATAAATCCGGCGTAAATATTCATAAATGAATGATACACGCAGATAAAACTATAACAACAACAACAACAACAACTTCTAAAATCTAAAAAATAAGTGAAACTTCAGCTTTAACACTGTCTCTGTGAGGAAATAATACCCAGAGCAAATGCTACACGAACAAAAGTCATTTCAATGAAAGGTACCATCCATAATTCTGATGAAACTAGATGGAACTTTGACTGCTTGCAGTTGAATATGATGCCTCCACCATAGAGCGATTTCACAAACTAAAACAGAAGCAATTTTTCAAATTCAAGTTTAATTGTAATCCAATAACAGGTCCTCAGAATATTGTGATTTCAAGCTGTTTTTCATATACAAGTATGACCATTTTATCTTTGACCTCATGACCCTTAAATCTAATCAGTTCATCGGCTTTGCAAGATACATACATGTTCTGCGTTTGATGGTAATCTGTCCATCGGTTCTAATGATGTGATTACGAGCTATTTTTGCATACCTAATGAGCACTGTGACCTTTGACCTCGTGACCCCAAAATGTAATCAATTCATTGGCTTTGCAAGATACATACCGGGACATGACCTAAGTTTGGCAGGAATCCATCAATCGGTTCTTGAGATAATGCGATCACGAGAACGGGACGTATATACGTACAGACGGACAACCTGAAAATATAATGCCTCCGGCTACTTCGTAACGTAGGCATAAAATCAAATGATTTTGAACTCACCCACCATCAAGCCTAAGCACAGTGTCATGTCTGGCTTTGTGTAGGTAATGAAACAAATAGGATTGATGTTTTCTTGTAAAACTTGGCCTTGGCTTCAGACTCTGAGATCAATTCTGGAAAGGGGAGGTAGAAATCATACCTGTCCTCAACAAACAGGTTGACTTCATCCTACAAAAAAGAGAGCCAAAAAGATATCATTAAAAAAAATGGAGGAATCACCACTGAAGTTGCATAATTGGGCAATTGAATTCAACTTATTATAATTATCTGGCGACCAGATTTTAGTATTGATGGCAAAGATTGATGGCAAAGATTAAAGATAAATATAAATACTTTGCATTTGTGCAAGTTACTTACTAATCCCATATCTTACTTATTCTTATTCTTTGTTCTTTTTGCCTTCACATATACATTTATTCCCCCCTTTTATTTCCAGCTCTCTCTCTCTCTCTCTCTCTCCCCACTCTAACTTTGTGTTTTGAGTGTTTATCTCTCTCTCTCTCTTAAAATTGTCCCTGTTGTAAAATCAAAACAAATTACTTTTATTTCTACGGACAAAATAAACAAATGTCCTAATATCACACGAAATGAATCATCCATTTTGATTTTGCAACATGTACAATATACAATTAACAAAGAAGAAACAAAAACTGTAATTCAAAGTATATATACAGTGCCTCCCAGAAAAAATGAAACCGAGAAGTATTAATGTTCTATCATAACTTAATCACAACTATAATTAATGAATGATACATATTTGGAAAGCTTAGAGTCTCCTCTTCCTCACTTGGAAGCAATGATAGACGATCACAAACCTGACGTTATCATTGGAACAGAGTCGCATTTAAAACCAGACATCCTTAATTCTGAGGGCACTCCAATAGGCTTTACCAAATACAGAAAGGATAGGACATGTGCTAGAAAAGGAGGAGTCTTCATCATGATAAGGGATACTTTCATAGCTACTGAATGCAGCATTTGTACATCGCAGACTGAGTTGATGTGGATCTCTCTACAAATTCAAGGTTTTAAGCCATTGCTCATAGGAGTATTCTATAGGCCTCCCAACTCGGACAGAGAAAACCTCCAACACCTCTCTGAATCCCTGCAGTACATCTCCAGTAGCATGAGAAACTCGACCATACTTGTTGCTGGTGACTTCAACTTACCTCACATTGGTCCAACCGCACAGTTAAGCCCTATGCTAACGAAGGAAGAAAATGCTCTTGCCTTCTTGACATATGCAACGACTTTTACTTGGAGCAGATGGTCAAAGAGCCTACCAGAACAGCAGGCGCTACAAAGAACATCCTTGATCTTGTTCTCACTACCCATCCAGCCTCCATTGATGAGTGCAAAGTCACAGCAGGTATCAGTGACCACGACATCGTGAGCTTTGGAGTTAACAAAACTCCATCAATTTCAAGGAAGAAAGCTCGGAAAGTATTCATGTATGATAAAGCTGATACAACCGGCATACGTGCAGATCTCCTCAAGTTTTAGTCTTCTTTCTTACGTAGCAGCCCAGAACCTAGAACAGTACAGCAGAACTGGGATGACTTCAAAACAGAGATTGGAGACCTCATGGAGAGTTACATTCCAACAAAGGTGTCTGGAAAGAAAAGAACCAGTCCCTGGATCACAAACACCATAAAGAGAGGAGTCAGAAGAAAGCAAAGACTGTACAATAAAGCTAAAGCTTCAAAAACACCAGATGATTGGCTTAAGTACAACAATTATCAGAAAGAATTAAGATCTCAACTGCGTCATAACTACTGGACTTATCACAACAAGATGTTCTCTCCTGATGACAAGAACAACAAAGCATTCTGGAAGTTCATCAAATCCAGAAAGCAAGAGTCATCTGGAGTTGGATCCCTCAAATGTGGTGAAATGCTTGTATCAGACAGTAAAGGGAAAGCAACTGAATTGAACGACCAATTCCAATCAGTTTTCACACTGGAGGATAACTCGAACATTCCAGATCTTAGACAACCCGTGTTTCCTTCAATGGATCGCATTGAAATCTCTGTGGAAGGCATTGTCACGCTACTGAAAGCTATAAATGTTAGCAAAGCCACAGGACCAGATGGCATACCAGGAAGGATCTTGAAGTTCTTTGCTGAAGACATTGCACCGATCCTGACCTTTATCTTTCAACAATCTCTAGATACAAGAACAGTACCATCTGACTGGCGTCTTGCAAACATCTCACCAATTTTCAAGAAAGGAGACAGGAGCAAGGCCTCCAACTACCGCCCTGTATCAATCACGTCCATCTGCAGTAAACTGCTCGAACATGTCATTTTCAGCAATATCATGGATCACTATGACGAAAATAATATTCTCAATGATGTTCAGCACGGCTTTCGTCCTGGCCATTCATGTGAGACCCAGTTGATCATTACATCTCAAGTTGATGCAGTTGCATTAGACTTCTCCAAAGCCTTTGACCGTGTACCCCATAACCACCTCCTCCATAAGCTCCATCACTATAGGATCCATGACAACCTTATCAGATGGATCAGGGTGTTCCTAACTGAAAGGTTACAACGTGTTGTTGTAGATGGAGAGTCATCTGAATGGGTTCCAGTCACCTCTGGAGTACCGCAGGGCACAGTTCTCGGCCCACTTCTGTTTATATCCTTCATCAATGACATAGTCGATGGGATCTCTTCCAAAATCCGACTCTTTGCTGATGATTGTCTTCTATACCGTCCGATCACTGATGTCACTGATAGCCAAGCCCTACAACACCGAGAAATGCTACCACATCACATTCTCCCTACGTCGGAAAGCCATCACCACAACATACATGCTAGGAGACACTCCTCTTGCGTTGGTAACAGATCTCCGGTATCTAGGACTGACTTTCTCATCCAACTTGTCCTGGCAAGGCAACATGAACAACATCACATCCGGAGCCAATCGGATGCTGGGACTAGTCAGCAGAAATCTCCACAAAACCTCACAAAAGATCCGCCAACAAGTCTACTTCTCTCTTGTTAGACCTCATCTGGAATACTGTTGCTAGGTCTGGAACCCTCACACAAACAAGCATATATCCAAAATCGAGGCAGTACAAAGGCGAGCAGCAAGATTCACCCTCCAGAGATATCGTTGTATGGCCAGTGTCTCGGCCATGATTCAACATCTGAAATGGGAGAGCCTGGAGAGGAGAAGAAATGCTGCAAGCCTCCACCTCATGTACAAGATCCAAAACGACACAGTAGCCATCAATGCACACCATTACACAGCACCCATGATTGCCAGCAACACACTCAAAGAAGTTGCTGGCTATCCCATCCCGCACCCAGCTCTACCAGAACTCATTTTTCCCTCGGACAGTAAATGCGTGAAATGCACTTTCAAAGATCACCCTTGACGCTACTTCACTGGAGGGCTTCAAGGGAGCGCTTCCACCAAGCATCTAGACCAAGAACTAGATAGTTTATTCCTCAGCACTACATCCTGACTTATGGATCCTGCTGAGTATCGTCGTAGAAGAAGTAGAAGTGTCATACTACTCAGATAATGCATATTTCACGCATGAGTGATTAAAAGCAATTTGAAGGAAGGAAACCAAAAAGACATTTGGCGGGCGGTATCTGAATTACGAAAAAAACTTCACATTTCTAGAAAGTTGAGTTTCTGCCCTTTCATATGACACCTCAATCAGGAAAAATGAGCGGGGAATGACAAAGTTCTGTTTGTCTAAAGTAGTGCTTGCATTTCCATAATTTTATTAAACGAATTCATTTTTACTGGCTGCCTGCCATATCAATAAACGAAATTAACAAAAGACTTAACTCCGTTTCGTTGACAATCAACCGTAGACGAGAGTCTTCATGCATGGCTAATTGTCAACGAAACGGAGTCAAGTCTTTTGTCAACTCTGCTTTTTGCTACGGCAGGCACCCAGTGAAAACAAATTTGTTTGTTAAAATTATGAAAATGTAAGGGCTACTTTAAACAAACAGAATTTTGTTATTCCTGGCTCATTTTTCTCGATTGAGGTATCATATGAAAGAGCAGAAAATGAACTTTCTAGAAATATGAATTTTTCTTTGAAATTCAGATACCACCCGCCAAATTACTTTTTGGTTTCCTTCCTTCAAATTGCTTTTAATCACTTATGCGTGAAATATGCATCACGTGAGTAGCATCAACTGAAAGAGGAGACTCTAAGCTTTCCAAATATGTATCATTCATTAATTATGGTTGTGATTAAGTTATGATAAAACATCGATACTTCTCGGTTTCGTTTTTTCTGGGACGCACTGTATATATATACCGGTAATGCCATAATATTAACTACAGATCAAGATGTTGTAGAAGTGAAATCCTGGTTGATAAATTGTTACCTCTGAGATGTCTAGCTCACACTCTGATACCGATTGCACACCATGCAGCTCTAATCTCAGTTCTAATCTCCTTGGGCCTTTCTCATCACCATCCTGTAAATCGAGACTGTACTGTGGCACTGGTAACTCCACCTTGGTGCTGGAGATCTCCTCAATGAGTCCACTCTTACCCTGGCTCCTGCCTCCTCCAGGATCCTTGCTGGATCCCACACCAAGATCTTGAAGTCTGTCCTCCAGCTCAGACTGGTCCAGGTCCTGGTTAGACAGTTCCTGGATCTTACCCAGGAGAGAGTCTGGGCTAAGCCCTGCAAGGTTCTCTTCAAGGATTTCTGCCTCTGTCTTTTCCCGCTTCCCAAAGAACCGCTTTGCCGATGCTAGAGATGCAACGTCTCCCTTGAACTTGAGACCCTGGCACTCTTTGTACGTCCTGGAGAGTTTCACTTTGTGTTGATTCTCTACATAGTCCATGCCAAGCTGGATCAGTAGATCTTCATCTACACCACTTTTAAAACTCTCCTCTAAAACATAGGGATTGAAGGCTAGACGGGCAACACTGTATTCACCTGCAAGTAAAGCATTTGATAAGGAGGGATTTTACTGAAGTGAAGGTTTAAAATTGGGGTATATATTCTTGGAACATACAGTACAACCAAAATAAAGTACCTCTCATATGTGAGTTCTTTACCTATTCGAGGATCATACTTATGCTTCCGTTACAACCACACCTTGAAGTACAGTTGCCATGGCAACCCAATTATGAGGAAGTGGGCAGGTCTGCTGGCTTATAAAAATTCAACATTGATATGGGGAAGGACAAAGATAATGAACATGTAACTCTCATCTGTTAAGAACTTTCATTATAACGTTTTGTTTTGTTAGCTAGGACCCTCTGCTATCAAAATACTGGCAGGGGCGGATCCATGGGCTGCCAAGTGAAAATCTGATTTCCCAAGAAAAACACAATAATGTGTCCAGACCCACACAATATTAGTACCTAGATGTTGCAGTGTACTAGATGCCAGGAAAACATCACTTACAGGTGTTCAAAATAGCCACACAAAAAATTGCCTCACCGCTTTGCAGCTCGTGGCTGATGCTCTGCATGTTAGTAGATGCCAGGAAAACATCACAAAAATAGAAGAAAACAAATTGCCTATGCGGCGGGTCACCCTCCCCCCCCCCCCCCCCCCCCTTTAGCAAAAGGCTAGATCACCCCTGACTGGAATTTTAGAAAAATAACATATGTTTGTACTTCAACAATATGGAAACGAATAGTAAACACCTTGATATGTATTTCAAACTGCCTGCTTGATTGCAAGAAAGTGACTGTTGCTATGGAAATGTAAAGGAAAAATGTTGACATTTGTGAGAAAAACCCTGTAATAAATGCACAATATCAAACAACCGTCTGCACAGTAAAGAAGAATCTTTTGTTTCTGTTAGCTACTATCATCAGCTATCATAATCTGCCTGTTTGCCTTTAAATTAGTTTTGGGTGTGACCACTAGGATCATGTCATTCCACAGACGAAGGCTCAAGTACATGGTTGAATGATTTACTTTTTTCAGTCATATTAGTCACTGTGACTGTATTGTCCGTGCTTCCATGCTCACATGTCCTTATAGTCCATGGGCCAGACCAGATATTGGTACCACCAGAGGTGGCAAAACCTTTGTACTTTTTTTTTGTTTGTTGGGCATATATACGGGTAAAAAGTTATGATAGCATAGTCATATAATCAGCAGTTTCCATGGCAACACAACACTAAAACCGGTATTATTCAAAGAAACAGTTAAAGTCATTTAAAAATTATAAAAACACTTTTGAATGCATAAAAATGTAGTTTAGAATACCTCACCATAAAGGAAAGTAATTAAATGCAAATTACATTACCATTTATAACGGTTGCCATAGTAACGACCCCAGAATGGCCTAAAATCAAGGACTTTGGTGTATTTTCAGTAACTTATTAGACAATATGCCCTTTCAAGACAAGTTAAAGTCCCCTTTCCAATTTAATGAAACAACTATATGACTAATACATCATATAAGCCAAGAATATGCTATTTAGTACCTTCCCATTGTAACCATTGCGACGTGAATTAGAGTTAACAAGATGCCCTGTATGGTACTATATGCCATATTTTGGCTATATTTTGTCATTGGAGAGCTATTGAAAGTTCATTTTGGTGTCTATACCCAGGTTTTCAGGCCCACAGAATTTTTTTTTAGAATACCTCACCATAAAGAAAAGTAATGAAATGCAAATTACATTACCATTTATAACGGTTGCCATAGTAACAACCCCAGAATGGCCTAAAATCAAGGATTTTGGCGTATTTTCAGTAACATATTAGGCAATATTCCCTTTCAAGACAAGTTAAAGTCCCCTTTCCAATTTAATGAAAAACTATCTGACTAATCTATCATATCAGCCAAGAATATATATAGTACATTTGTATTGTTACCATGACAACATGAATTAGAGTTTACAAGATGCCATGTACGGTACTATATGCCATATTTTGATCTTGGTCTTGGATTATTTTCCTCCTAAATACTCCGAAGAAGAGTTTTGACTGGAGGTGGCTATATCTTGGGATTGGAGAGGTGTTGAAAGTTCATTTTGGTGTCTATACCCAGGTTTTCAGGCACAGGGAACTTAGCTAAAGCATTATTTTGGACATTAACATAGGACATCACTGCTAATTTTCATACATTTGCATAAAATCAGAGCAAAATGACCATAAATGTATTCTGCCACTGCATATTACAAGCTGTTTTTTAGTGTTTAGAAAGATATAACATTGTGATGACTACATTAGATGCTAGAAAACTTCATTTGATTGTATGCAATGTTGGAACCAGCACAGATTCATCACATTAATGACTATTTGTTTGTTATTGTATAAAAACTGTGAAGTCCCTGGGATGTATATCTCTTGGCATATGCACACTGTGGTCACCCATTGAGAAGATGTTTCAAATGCTGGACTGAGGGACCTATGTGTAGAGTCAGGTATCACTGATATTGGCTCTGTAGCTGGAGTGATGTAATGCTGCAAGTACAACTGTGCAGTCAAGTTGTTGTACGAGGCATAATTTATGCGACAGGCGTGGAAAGGCTTCCTACCCTGTCTGGAAACTAACCACACTGATGACCAGGTTCACCTGGAAGAAAGCCTTAGAGTCGTGAACAGCCTATGTGAAGATGTTTCTCAAGCTGCTGGCTGTGAGATGATTGAGAACTAGTCCTTTGAGCCCATCTTCAAGCTGTTTGATGTCTACCTTGATTACCTGATACAGGAGAATGGGATCCTCTCGGCCTTCTGGATGTATGTGGACATCGTTGAGGTTATGCTAGGTCTGGTTCAGGCATCTAGAGAGGGTGTCTGCATGGGTGCTGCACCTCGCTTTCATTCGTGCAATGATTCCCTGGTGCTTCGCCGACGACAAACTGAACTAAGCACGCTTTCTTCCCTACTATATTTATTATGTACAAATATCCCGGCTGGCCAATTGATCACCCAGATGTGCATGAACAATTCATGCAGGGCCAGAGATTTTCTGTACAACTTGGTAGGACCTCTTTGGCAGAATCCCAGTCGACCAGAAAATTGAAAAAAACATCAACAAGGACACACAGACAACTGGGGTGGGGGGGGGGGGGACAAAAGGTTCAGCCTAAAACCAGGAGCTGACAGTAGGTACTACCTGACATCTGAGTACAGAAGGTCAGGAGCTCATATTATTTTGAGGGAGTTGAGAGACATGGTCAGCAGAAACAGTTTACAGCACTTCAATCATCCGGACCTGCAACTAAGCCGGATAAGAAAAGATGAGACCGATGTTTGTTCATTTGTGGAACTAATCGAGAACAGCTGAGCCATGATGAAACAGAGTTGGTCAACTTGTCTACTGTATCCTGGCCCCACCAGATATTGCCAAAGACCGGCTGAAAGTTCACAAAGTTGGAAAAGAAGCATACCGAAAAGATTGTTTGGAAAAAGAGCAACCCATGGTAAACTTTCATGACAAGATGAAAAAAGAGAGCCTGAAGACCTTCCTCAACATCAATTAAAAGCAGGCTGGGTACAAAGCTAAAGGGAATCAGGTAATCGTGAAGGCAGATCGAAACCTCTTTGGGCGCATGCATGATCATCATTGCTCACAGCAGAGCGCTATATATTAGAGAGGTTCTAGGACGCCCACTCGGACCAATACCGTGGTCACTGGCAACAGCATTGCTCTCTGCGCAAGACAAACAGAGCTGGAGAAAATTGTGTCACCAGCAGATCTCACTCCGAAGCCTTCAGCTTGTATCATTGGAATTTATGGAAGGAAATGATACTGAAATTGAATGGAATAACTGGAAGACTAAGTTTGTTGGTATTTGTGATGAACATTGCCCTAAGATTTCTCTGAGGGTTAGGGGTATGAAGACAAAATGGGTCACGCCTGAGTACACTCGATTGTGCTATGATAGAGATGCACTCAGGAAGAAAGCTGAAAATTCAAAGGACCGACGGGATTGGAGTCTTTTCAGATCCTGCCGTAACCATGTCAATAATCTAAGAGTTACTTTGAAAAAGTCTTTTTGTCATGAACAAATAGTTCAAAACAAAAGGAACCCTTCAGAACTTTGGAAGATGCTTAAACAAATTGCCCCTACTTCCACCAAAAGCGTTCCCAATACTTTGAACCTTGATGTAAATTGTGTTAATGAGTATTTTACATCTATTGGTAGTCTGCTTGCTGCCAGTCATTCCTATGTTGAACCTGTGATCTTGTCATTATCTCAGGACTCTATTCGATCTGTCTTTGAATTTGATTTGATTTCTGAGGATTTTGTACGAAAAGAATTGCACTCTATTCAGATTAATAAGGCAACTGGCCTAGAAGGGCTTAGTGCACGTCTCCTGAAGTTGGCCACACCCGTTATTTGTACACCTATTACTCACCTGTTTAATCTTTCTCTGCAAACCAGCCAAATTCCAGCTGACTGGAAGCAGGCACAAGTTACCCCAATTCACAAGGGTGGGGATAGGGACGATGTTAGCAACTATCGTCCCATATCTGTTATACCGTCGATTATGAAAATATTGGAAAAGGCAGTTAACGTGCAACTTCGAGACTATCTGTCAGATATTAATCTCCTAACCCCTCACCAATCTGGATTTAGGAAAGGTTATTCAACAAACACCGTACTTGCATTTTTGAGCAATTATTTGTTGACTAACATGGATAAAGGTAGAATAACTGGAATAGTCTTTCTTGACATACGAAAGGCATTCGACTCTGTTAATCATAGATTATTACTAGATAAGTTAAAACTGTATGGCATTACGGGACAAGCATTATCATGGTTCGAATCATATCTTGTACACCGGGCGCAGTGTACCTCCTTGCTAGGTAAAAAATCTGACGTGCTAAAGTTAAAGTCTGGAGTCCCCCAGGGATCTATTTTGGGGCCCCTCCTTTTCACTCTTTTCATGAACGATCTTCCATCAGTCATCGAGCACGGTAAAGTGATTATGTATGCAGATGACACTGCCCTTATGTA